TCTGAGGCCAGAGTGCTGTTTAGGACATCTGCCATTCTATGGGTCTGCTGTGTATCCTGCTTCCCATGTTGGATCATTCTCTCCCTTTTTTTATTCCATCAGTTAGTATTAGCAGACACTAGTCTTGTTTATGTGATCCCTTTAACTCTTAGGCCAATCATTATGATCAATTGCGAACAGAAATTGATCACTTGGACTAGTGAGATGGCATTGGTACATGCCACCTTGATGGGATTGAATTGTAATCCCCTGGTATGTGTCTGTTTATTATTTGAGAGAGAGGCAGAAAGAGCAAAATAGAGATACAGAGAGAGCTCCCATGTGCCAATTTACTCCCCAAATACACACAGCATCCAGGGCTAGACTGGGCTGAAGCCAGGAGCTGGAAACTCAATCCAAATCTCCAGTGTGGGTAGCAGGGACCCAATAATTTGATCCATCACTGCTGTGTCTCAGGGTCTGCATTAACAGAAAACTGGAACTAGGAGCCAGGACTGAAACCTGTTTGCTCAGCTTTGGGACACAAGCATCTTAACCAGCATCCCAACCAAATTCATGTCCCCAGACTGATTTTTTTCTAAAGCAAATATTGTACTAATCTTCAGCCTTGCCTTTCTACTGAAGTAGTGTTCCCATCATTGTCTACAGTTGTGCTCCAAGATACAAGAAAGTTACCTGGGAAAAAATGGAGGAAAGAGAAGTAGGAGAGATCCTCTTATCACCATAATACAACAAACATGTACTATGGAGTGGACTACAATATATACACACATTGTAAAGAAACTTAATGAAAGTGCTATGATTATTTCAGATTATGCCTCCGCTTGTTTCTCTTATTCAAATTCAAATTAGAAGATTTTTTAATCATAAAAGTTTAAGAAATATTCAAGCTTAGAGGGAAAGGTGTAAGCTCCTTCTCAATAGCAGTATCTAAAAAATGAGCACAATCAGTCATCTCTCTTCTGAGTTTTTTCATGTTGCCTCTGAAGTAGTGAGCAGCCCATAGATCTGTAGATGCTATGTTTTGGCAGCACCCCTTTGCCTTTTCCATACTGTGCTTAAACCAGTTTGCTTTTCTTTGCTCCTCTTGATTAATAACTCCTGTTCCTTTAAGTGTCTACTTATTCTCCAGAATCCTGCTATGGCTTTCTCTCTCCTACTTTCATCTCCTATTGTATCATAGCTCTGCAGACACCATGCCACAAGTTAGGAATGACAACATATTCTACTGAGCCCATATTTCCTTCAAAGGAATACCTTCATTTCACCCTGCCAAGGAGAGCATTTTAACTTCTCCCACCATCTCACTTTTTTAAAGTGATTCATTTATTTACTTGAAAGGCAAAGTTACAGAGGTGGAGGCAAGGGAGAAACAGAGAGATATCCGTCTGCTGGCTCACTCCCCAAATGACAGCGACAGTGGGGGATGGACCGAACCAAAGCCAGAAGCCAGGAGCTTCTTCCAGGTCTCCCAGGAGGGTGCAGAGGCCCAATCACTTGGGCCATCATCCTTTGCCTTCACAAGCACATTAGCAGAGAGCTGGATTGGAAGTGAAGCTGCAGGGACTCAAACTGGTGCCCTTATAGAATGCCGGCATCCCAGGCAGCAGCTTAACTCCCTACAGTATGATGCCAGACCCCAGCATCTCATTCTTTACTGCTTTCAGAAGCACAGATTCATCTGAATGATGACCTTGGTCAGACCTGACTGCTCTAGACCACACCTACATGGAGGCAGAATCACTTCCTTGCAACTTATGAGGGATTAATAACAAGAATATATAAAGAGGTCAAGAAACTCAGCAACAACAAAACAAACAACCCAGTTAAGAAAGGGACAAAGGACTTAAACAGATATTTTTCAAGAGAGGAAATCCAAATGGCCAACAGACACATGAAAAATTGTTCAGGATCACTAGCCATCAGGGAAATGCAAATCAAAACCACAATGAGCTTTCACCTCACCCCAGTTAGAATGGCTTTCAGACAGAAATCAACAAACAATAAATGCTGGTGAGAATGTGAAGATAAAGGTATCCTAATCCACTGTTGGTGGGAATGTAAACTGGTAAAACCATTATGGAAGACAGATTGGAGATACCTCAGAAATCTGAATATAGACCTACCATATGACCCAGCCACCCCACTCCTTGGAATTTATCCAAGGGAAATGAAATCAGTAAATAAAAGAGTTATCTGCACCCCCATATTTATTGTAGCTCAATTCACAATAGCTAAAACATAGAGTCCACCTAAATGCCCATCAACTGAAGACTGTGTAATGAAATTATAGGATATGAACTCTATGGAATACTACACAGCAGTTTTAAAAAAAAAAGAAATTCGGTTATTTGTAACAAAATGGGCGAATCTGGAAAACATCATACTTAGTGAAATAAGCCAGTCCCAAAGGGACAAATACTATATGTTCTGGGCTGGCACCGTGGCTCATTTGGTTAATCCTCTGCCTGTGGTGTCGGCATCCCATATGGGCGCCGGGTTCTAGTCCCGGTTGCTCCTCTTCCAGTCCAGCTCTCTGCTGTGGCTCGGGAGGGCAGTGGAGGATGCCCAAGTGCTTGGGCCCCTGCACCCTCGTGGGAGACCAGGAAGAAGCACCTGGCTCCTATCTTCAGATTGGCATAATGCTGGCTGTAGCGGCCATTTGAGGAGTGAACCAATGGAAAGAACTTTTCTCTCTGTCTCTCTCTCTCACTGTCTATAACTCTGTCAAATAAATAAAAAGATACTATATGCTCTATATGATTTGTGATAGCTAATAGAGCACCTAAAAGAAAATCTGTAGAAGTGAAATTGACATTCCAAGAAGCAATGACTTGAACAGCCCTTGTCTTGACTGTCGAGGAACAGGCTTTTTTTTCATACTATTTGTTGAACTCTTAACAAAGAGTTAATCATACATGTATGAAGTCAGTTGAAAATAGATCTCAGTAAAAAATAAGAGTGAGAATAAGAGAGGGAGGAGAAAGTATATAACTGTAAAGCTGTATAGTTCTGTATACATTCCTAAGGACTTATTTCTAAGGGTATAGTTTAAAAAATTTGCTATGGGTCCCAAATCCCATTAAGCTAGGTGATAAAAATGCCATCTTAAGTGTTAAAGTGATCATATTAAGTGTTAAAGTGAACATATAAATAAAATTAAGTGTTAAATTGATCATATAAATAGGAAGAAGTGCCTGGTAATAATAATAGATAGAATTAAAAAGGAGAGAATGTTTCAACATGGGAAGCAGTTCATACAGCAGACTCATAGAATGACAATCACTTTAAGTAATACTCTGACCTCAGAATCATCCCTTAAGGCATCCTAGTCTGACTGAACAGCCGATGAGAGCATTATAGGCATGGAAAGCCGAGACACTGTGGCAAAAAATGTTCCACATCAAGGATCTCTACATCAAGGATCCCCAGCAGAAAGAAGTGGCCATCAAAGAAGGATGTACTTTTCTCTGAGGGGACGAAAGAGCTTCCAATTTGCTTATGGCCTTGTCTAAATACTGATGGAGTCTGTGGATTCAAAAGGCTTCCATAGCTTAGAAAGCTCAGGTAGAGAGCCTTGGGTGGTCACTGGCTTCATACATAAGAGTGTTAGTTGTGGGCCGGCGCCGTGGCTCAATAGGCTAATCCTCCACCTGCGGTGCTGGCACCTCGGGTTCTAGTCCCAGTCGCGTCACCGGATTCTGTCCTGGTTGCTCCTCTTCCAGTCTAGCTCTCTGCTGTGGCCTGGGAGTGCAGTGGAGGATGGCCCAAGTGCTTGGGCCCTGCACCTGCATGAGAGACCAGGAGAGGCACCTGGCTCCTGGCTTCAGATTAGCGCAGTGCACCAGCAGCAGCGCGCTGGCCACAGTGGCCATTGGGGGGGTGAACCAATGGCAAAAGGAAGACCTTTCTCTCTGTCTCTCTCTCTCACTATCCATTCTGCCTGTCAAAAAAAAAAGAAGAAGAAGAAGAAGAAGAAGAAGAAGAAGAAGAAAGAAAGAAAGAAAGAAAGAAAGAAAGAAAGAAAGAAAGAAAGAAAGAAAGAAAGAAAGAAAGAAAGAAAGAAAGAAAGAAAGAAAGAGTGTTGTTAAATTAACAACAGGAGTCACTGTGTACTAACTTCCCATTCAGGACCTCTGTCCTTAACGAGTTGTATTATCAGAGTTAACTGTAAAATTTGATCTCAAACAGTTGGTGTGTGTATTTGTGTGTGTGTGTGTGTAAATTGTTGTAATCTTTGCTTAGTATAGAGTCTTCTGTGTGTAAATTTAATTGAAAATAAATCTTAATGGAGAATGGGACTGGGAATGGGAGAAGGAGGAGGAGGAGGGTTGAGAGAATGGGTGGGAGGGCAGGTATGGTGGGAAGAATCACTATATTCCTAAAGTTGTACTTATGTAATTTGTATTCCTTAAATGAAAGGTTTCTTTGGGGGAAAAAAGAAATTATGCTGTATATATACACTATGGAATACTACTCAGCTGTAAAAAGAATGAAATCCTCACTTTTACAACAAAATAGATGCAACTGGAAACCATTATGTTTAATGAAATAAGCCCAGTCTTCAAAAAACAAATACCATATGTTTTCCCTGACCTGTGGTAACTAATAGAGTACCAAAAATCCAATATATAGGAATGAAATTCAATGATTGTTTACAGTCCTTGTCTCTAATGTTGAGGAACAGTGTTTTTTTCCTCATCATGCTATTTGTTGAATTCTTTACTTAGTATAGAGTTAATATTATGAGTATAAAGTAAACTGAAAGTAGTTCATTTTAAAAATTGAGAGGGAATAGGAGAGGAAGGGTGGGAGTGTGGGCAGGAGGGGGAAAAGGATGGGAAGTATCACTGTGTTCTTGAATCTTTATATAAGAAATACATGAAATTTGTATACCTTAAATAATTTTTTTAAAAAGAAAAATGTTTTACATATAATAAATATTATTTGCCTATTACAATTGATGCTATAGAAATACATTTTATTAACACGGAAAGAGAGTGACTGGCAATTTGGGAGGTGGTGACAAGAGATTGAGATGTTTGCAATGCAGATTATGGGAGCCAGTAGCTATTGCTAATGATAGTGCTGACGTCCTCAAGGATTGAGGGAGAGAGACTCATGAATCTGAAGATGGTTGCACAGGAGAGAAAGTGGAAGTGTCATCTGATATCATTGAAGGAAATGCTGATGCATGTTGGAAAGAAAGGTGGGAGAAAGATTTGGAAGCAGCCATGAGGAGACAGGACATCTCCCCAGCCTCAGTGTAAGTGGTGTGGGAGAGAAAACAGACACCAGTTGAAACAGGCTGCAGGGGAGGTGGTGTCCTCAGGGAAGAACCAAGCTTCAGAGAGAGCAGGGTACCTAAGGGAACTTCAGAGAAGAGGGCAAGATACATGCGATTTTAATAATGACTGATTTTGAACTCTAGAGTACAAAGGTTTTCCAGCACTGGGAAGAAATGAGGAGTAGAGTTGGAAAGGTTGGGAGTGATGTATAGAGCCCTATAGGAAGCAGAGTGCAGAAGAGGGGGAGTCGCCTGGGCATCAGAAACTGGGATAAGAGGCTTAAAGAGATCAGTCTTAATGGGATCAAAGAACATGGTGAGGAGACTGAGTGTTGGGAAAAGACGGGTGTGTCTGTGGTCAGCAGCACAGAAAATTCTGCAGTTACTTCTTGAGCCCAGCTGAAAGATGTGTGAAGGCTAAGAGGGAGGGTCTTACTCTGACCATAGAAGTCTCTGAGTCTCCCTCTTGGTTTCTAATACCACAGGTAGAGAGTCTGGGAGGGAGAGGTCCCAATCCAAGCTCCCTATTGATTCAGCTACAGTCTTGGAAATCAAGTAATTTTAGCTAATGCCTTGCTGCCCCAAACAAAATCACAGATCTATGGGTAAAAAGGAACAAAAGAAGACTAGGATTGTATACTGGGTAGACAACCCGTGGAATGTGCTACAGTCATGGAGGTAAGAAATGGTCCAAAGATGTCAGGGATACATACAAGGGAAGTGGTGTGTGTGTGTGTGTGTGTGTGTGAGAGTGTGTGTGTATGTGTGTGTGCATGTGTATATTAGAGTAGAGGTTGCAGGAGATAGAAGCAAAACACAGAGTGTACTCCTGAGGAATGGCATTGTAACAACTGGGATCCCAACTTGGTTCAGTAACTCAACTAGATGACAATCACGAATGACTCAGCATGCTTTACAGGGCAAAGCATAGAGTGAAAAACAACCAGGGCTATATGGATAAGCAATTGGAAGGAAAAAGCTTTTGTAATTGAATAATTGTAATGCAGATTAAGTTATTATTCATGTATAAAGGCAATGAAAAATTTTCATAATATAAGGGATTTTGACATGTACCATTCCTTTATTTTTTATTTAGTAAATATAAATTTCCAAAGTACAGTTAATGCATTACAATGGCTTCCCCCCCACAATTTCCCTCCCACTCACATGCCTCCCATCTCCCACTCCCTCTCCCATTCCATTCACATCAAGATTCATTTTCAATTATCTTTATATACAGAAGATCAATTCAGTATATATTAAGTAAAGATTTCATCAGTTTGCACCCACACAGAAACACAAAGTGTAAAATACTGTTTCAGTACTAGTTATAGCATTACTTCACATTGGACAACACACTAAGGACAGATCCCACATGAGAAGTAAATACACAGTGACTCCTGTTGTTGAATTAACAAATTGACACTCTTGTTTATGGCGTCAGTAATCTCCCTAGGCTCTAGTCATGAGTTGCCAAGGCTATGGAAGCCTTTTGAGTTCACCGACTTTGATCTTATACCAACAGGGTCATAGTCAAAGTGGAAGTTCTCTCCTCCCTTCAGAGAAAGGTACCTCCTTCTTTGATGGCCCCGTTCTCTCCACTGGGATCTCACTCGCAGAGATCTTTCATTTAGGTCTTCTTCTTCTTCTTTTTTTTTGCCAGAGTGTCTTGGCTTTCCATGCCTAAAATACTCTCATGGGCTCTTCAGCCAGATCCGCATGCCTTAAGGGCTGATTCTGAGGCCAGAGTGCTGTTTAGAACATCTGCCATTCTATGAGTCTGCTGTGTATCCTGCTTCCCATGATGGATCGTTCTCTCCCTTTTTGATTCTATCAGCTAGTATTAGCAGACACTAGTCTTGTTTGTGTGTGTGATCCCTTTGACTCTTAGACCTATCAGTGTGATCAATTGTGAATGGAAATAGATCACTTGGACTAGTGAGATGGCATTGGTACATGCCACCTTGATGGGATTGTATTGGAATACCCTGACAGGTTTCTAACTCCACCATTTGGGGCAAGTCCGATTGAGCATGTCCCAAATTGTACTTCTCCTCCCTCTCTTATTCCCACTCTTATATTTAACAGGGATCACTTTTCAGTTAAAATTTAAACACCTAAGAATAATTGTTTGTTAATCACAGAGTTCAACCAATAGTACTAGAACAAAACAAAGAGAAAATACTAAAATGGATAAAGTATTACATTGTACATCAACAGTCAGGACAAGAGCTGATCAAGTCACTGTTTCTCAGAGTGAAAAATTTTCATAAATATAAGGGATTTTGACATGTACCTTTCCTTTAAAAATATACTCAAAAATGCCTTACAAATAGTGGAGGGGAGATTCAAAATCAAGAAGAATGAGGAAGCTGTGGTATAAAAATGTTATAGAGATATGCATAAATCCCATCCAGTAGAGACTTAAATGTAAATAATTATTGTAAAAGTGGTTACAAATTGAAATACATAAAGCCAAATTCATTTTAAAAATAAGATGCACAAGTTTAAAAAATCATATATATAATTTTTAAAATTTTATATTTCTAGATTAGAATAGCACAGACCAAAAAATAGAGAACGAGAAGGGTAGATGAAGAGGTGGAAATAAAGAGGTTAAGGTCGGTGCTGTGGCTCAATAGGCTAATCCTCCACCTTGCGGCGCCAGTACCCCAGGTTCTAGTCCTGGTTGGGGCACCAGGTTCTGTCCCGGTTGCTCCTCTTCCTATCCAGCTCTCTGCTGTGGCCCGGGAGGGCAGTGGAGGATGGCCCCAAGTCCTTGGGCCCTGCGCCTGCAACTGGCTCCTGGCTTTGGATTGGCACAGCGCACCAGCTGTAGTGGACATTTGGGGGGTGAACCAACAGAAGGAAAACCTTTCTCTCTGTCTCTGTCTAACTCTGCCTGTCAAAAAAAAATAGTTTGAAAAACCATTAAAAAAGGAAATAAAGAGTTTAAAATATTAGCATTACAGGACAACATTTGGCACAGCATCCTTTTTCTTTTTTCTTTTTTTTCTTTTTTCTTTTTTTTTTTTTTTTTTTTGACAGGCAGAGTGGACAGTGAGAGAGAGAGACAGAGAAAGGTCTTCCTTTGCCGTTGGTTCACCCTCCAATGGCCGCCACAGCCGGCGCACTGCGGCCGGTGTACCGCGCTGATCCAATGGCAGGAGCCAGGTACTTATCCTGGTCTCCCATGGGGTACAGAGTACTCCACTGATAAATGAATAAAGAATAGTCCATTGATAAGAGATAAATATTTACACTATATGTTTCAAAGCTTATTCCATGTGCTTTCCAAAATGGTTTGCACGCCATAGCATTACATCTTCACAACAGTCCTGAGACAGGGGTTCTTTCATATCCATGCACCCATGGAGGAACAGGGCCTAACAGAAATAAGTAGCTTGCCTGAAGTTGCACAAATATGAAGTGACAAAACCAGGATTAGATTATACATAAGACAATACTAAAGACACCAGAACTTTTCAAATAATATTCCTTCAGTTACTTAGTAAATTTCCTATTTATCAAATTTCAGCACTTAGATCATTTCTATTTTTTTTACAATGATAAATACTGTTACCTGGTGTTGAACATCCTTATGTCAAATCTCTGCCCATAGTCCTGGTCACTTTTTCAGATAAATTCATAGAAGTAAATTTTGGTGGATCAAAAACCCAAAAATGGGTTTTTCCTCTAACAACAAGACTAATACATACACAATATGGAAAATCTGGAAAACATAGAGGAACACAAAGTAGTAAAGCAAAAATCACTGACAGTTCCACCTTCTGCATGTTACTATTCAGAAGATTTTCTCATTCTTGATAATACATATATTTACACACACGTACATATATACGCAGTTACATAATGTTGTATATATTGCTATACGGAAGCATGTGTCTTACATTTTACATGTGTTATAGAAAATTATGTGATACATAGCTACATGTATAAACATACACATATATGTTTTCTTTACAGGTAACCAACTAACTAACTGTAGAAACCATATGTCTGAGTTTAAAGAAACCATGCAACATTTAAAAAACAGAGCTGAAAATAGTCGCCAAGAGCTGATGGAAGCCTTCAATCAAATGAAAAATGATATTACAAACAGAGAAAAAGTTTCAGGAAGTTTAGGTTTGTGTTGCTTTTTGTGTGTGTGTGTATGGTTGTTTGCTTATTTTATGCTTTCTTTTTGAAAATTTAGATTTAATGCCTTCTTTATAGTAACCCAGAGTGACTACAATGCTCACACATTGTGGCAGGAAATCCTAAATGGTGCAACCACTCTGGAAACAGTTTGGCAATTTCTTACAAAGTTGAAAATACACTTACTAGAAGCCCCATTAATCCTGCTTTCTAGATATTCAAGTTAAAAGAAGAAAACTTTTCTTCATACAAAAAATGTACATGAATGCTTGTAGCAACATGTATTTTATAATCACCTCAAACTGAAAACATACCGAATGCCTTCAGTTGGTTAAAGAGTAAAGAATCTGTACCCATTGTATAGCCATACAATGAAATGCCACTCGGAGACTGGCATTGTGTCACAGAGGGTTAATCTACTACTTGTGACACCAGCATCCCATACTGGAGCAGCAGTTCAAGTGCCAGAAGGAGTTCCAGGATCCTGGCTTTGTCCTGGCCCAGCCTGCAACTGTTGCAGCCATACAGGGAATGAACCAGAGGATGGAAGTTTCCCTCTCTCTCTCTTTTGCACTGTCATTCTGACATACAAATAAAATAAATCATAAAAAATATAAATACTATTCAGCCATGTGATATCCTATAGATTTCATATTGTATTTCACCAATGACTAACAATGTTATGCATTTTTCAATGTGTTCCTTTATCATCCAAATATTTCTTGGGAGGAACATCTGTTCAAATCTTTTCCTCATTTTTAATTGGGCGGTTTATTTTATTTTTTTTTTATTTATTTGAGAGGCAGAGAAGTTGGAGGTAAAGAATGTTCCCACCTGCCACTCCCCAATTGACCAGGAGCCAGGAACTCTATCTAGGTCTTCCATGTAGGTGTCAGGGACCCAGGCAATTAAGCCATCACTTGCTACCTCCCAGGGTGCACATTGGCAGGAAGCTGAAATTGAGAGCAGAGTTGGAATACAAACCCAGGCACTCTGTTTGGCAAGTGGGTATCCAAAGCATCAAACTGAACTGTTGCACCAAAACTCATCCCTCTTACTGAGTTTTGAGAAATCCATGTGTTATCCTGGATACTTACCAGATGGATGTGTGACTTAAATGTTTTATTCCAGTCCCTGTCTTTTTATTTTCCTTATGATGTCCTACAGAGGGAAAACATTTTAAACTTTTGAAGAAGTTCAATTTATCAATTTTTCTCTATGTATTATTTTATATATTATGTTGTGTCTTATCACCAATTTACCTAGTTCAGGGTCAGGAAGACGTTCTTTTATGTATTTGAAAATTTCAGAGTTTTATGTTTTTTCTTTGTTGTTTTTAAATTGAGGAACAAAGAGAGACAGAGATCTTCCATCTTCTTATCTTCATTCCACAACACCCAAAACAACCAAAGCGGGGCCAGGCCAAAACCCTGAGCTGAGAACTCACTTCAAGTACCCCATACAGGTGCCAGGGACCCAGCTGCTGCAGCGTTACCACTGCCTCCCAAGGTGTGCATCGGCAAGAAGTTGGAATCAGAGTGGAGCCAAAGCTCAAACCCATGCACTCTTGGGAGATGAGCATCCCAACTGGCGCCTTATCAACCAGGCCAAACACCCATCCATCTAGTGTTATACGTTTTACATGTATGCTATTAAATCTTTGGAGTTAATTTGTGTAAATTTTGTGAAGTACAGATCAAGATTCAGTTATTTTCACATGGATATCCAAATATTCCAGCACCATTTTGTCACGTGTCTTTTCTGCTTTGAATTGTCTTTGCAACTTTGTCAAAGTTCAACAAGCATATTTGTGTAGGTTTATCTCAGTACTAGCTGTGTAAAGTATGAATTAAAGTTGAATAGTGTCGGCCTCCAATGTTGTCTTTCTTTTTCAAAATTATAATGTCATATTCTAATGAGTGGTACAGTTGGAGTCATTAAATATTAAGGGCTACAAACAAAGTTATAAAGATACAAACTGTAATGAAGTGATGTTAATCAAAGTAGCAAAAGAAACCAATTATAGCATGCTTTATTATACTCCTTTCCTTTGGAACTGACAGTTCTGTTGCCCTCTGGTTCTTTCACCCATTGTAGTGTGCTTAAATTAAATATTAATTTAAAAATAAATATGAGTCAGTCATCTTTGTCCTACAGTTTGTAGCATTGTGGTTTGGATAATTCACATTTTAGAATATTTTCATATACATTCTATACCAATCTGTAAATTAAGTTATTAAATTTCATTTTTTGAAAATTGTATGAGATGGAGAAGATACTCTGTAGTCACACACTCAGCAACTCTGTTTTTCTTCTCTTCCAGTTGAAAAGAAAGTGAATACAACAAATCAGAATGAAACAGTTTCTAATACACTGGAAGACTTAAAGTTCTTTTTTCCTCATCTAAATAAAGCAGACAGTATTTATCCTGATATAATCATTGGCAAAGGAAGAAGGGATGGTAAGAAGATTTAGAATTAAGAAATTAAATACAGGTATTTTGATCTTTGGAGACATATTTTTAAGTTTTAAAATGTAAACTATTAATAATATACTTTAAATCACATGTACACCACTAACCTACCTGGCATTAATTTGGATAAACGGAAGTCAATATATTGTCTGGCAGAACATAATAATTTAATAAGCATTTGGTGACTTGCATTCAAGTTCCATTTTAATACAGAGGCTTTGAAAACATGTCAGTATAGGTCAAATAGACATTAAATGTCTGTTAAGTGAATGGCAAATCTTTTTTCCTTGGTTTTGATAAATACAAATATATTCTTACTTGGTTATCTTCCTGTTTCTCCATCTTTCTGGGACTGAAGGCAGCAAAACTTTATAATATGAGCTGAGCCTTGAGGAATGAGTTCAGGCTCACACAGGTATCCAAGAAAAGAAGAGGCACTGCAGTTTGAAGCAGGCCTGTTAGGCCAAGTCTCAGGATCCCTGCCATTCCTACAAACTCCATTCATTCCAGTGAATGAGCCACCCTAGGTCAAGATCATGGACTGCTCATTTTTATGTAAGGTTTTGTTGGAACACGGCTATTCATTTTGTGCTGTGAAGACAGAGTTAAGTCATACCAGAGACTGGCCGAGAGCCAACAATGTTTTCTTTCTGGTCCTCCACAGAAGCTTGATGACCCCTGCCGTAGCCAGTTCCAGGGGAATAAGTAGTTCTATTCTGTACCAATTGCATCCAACATATTAACAAAGCCAATTGTATTGGGATGCAGGTGTCCAAGGGCATTGTTCAAGACTACTGAATCCTTAGTGTGTTGCACATGCTGAGTTCTATGGTTTTTTTTCCCCATTTTTCTCATTCTCTTCACCCAGTGCAATAGAGGCCATTATTATCATCTCTATTTTATGCCTGAGAAAATGGCAGCATAGATTGAGGAACAGTTTGAGTTCACAACTGGAAAACTCTAGCTCCATCAGATTTCACCGTAGCATCAAGAAATACAGCAGAAGCCATGATACAGAGTGAAAGGAAGGAGGCAGAGAGATGGGAGGCACAAATAGAATCCATCATGTGGGATCTTACGGTGGCATTATCAGAGCTGTGCTAAATCCTGAATAATTTCCTCATTTCCCAGCTATTTCCTAGTCTCAAACAATGACGTTCATACTCATATTTTTAATGTTTATTTTTATTCATTTTCATCTGCTTGAAAATGTAATAGGGATGGAGGGAGAGAGACAGAGATGATTTTCTGGCCACTGGTTCACTTTCTAAATGCCTGCAATAGCTAAGGTTTTCTCCATTACCAGAGACAATTTACAGGAGATTTATTCTTGGCAACTAAAAGATCCCAACACATAAAACACACACAAAAGTATTGAAGCCCATGACTTGGTCTGCTGGACAATTTACCATCAGACTCATTTGTTCTGTACCCTGAGTATATCTCGGGTAATTTCTGTGCTCTACAGCCCCTCTCTGCCTATTTTTGATTGAGCCTGTCATCATTTCCTGCCTGGTCTATTGAAATAGACTTGTAATTTTTTCCCATAGCTTTAGATTTACTGAAGTCAATCCATTCTTTATACTTTCCTCAGAGATATGTTACTAAAATTTATAGCTGATCATACTTCACTCTTGCTTCAAATCCTTCAATAGATGTTCAGTGCACATAGAATGAAGTTGACTCCTTGATGGGATATGTGCACAAAATCTCAGCTTCTGCCACTCTTTCCTCTCCAGAAACCCCAAGCCACTTGCTCGAAACAGGCCAATATCTTTGAGATCCTCATGTATCTTGCATGTGCTGGTCACTGCCTGTAATGAACACATCACCTGCTCCCAACAGACAACGGATTTGTGATGTGGCCCCCTTATCCAACACGACTTTCCAGCTTAAACTCCGACTCCTTTGTGAAGTCTTTTTCGTTGCCTCAGTGAACAACTGCTTCTCTGTTCTGGACGCATGTTAGACCCAGGGGATTTGGTGAGGGATATGGACCACAGCCTCACAGAGACAAGTGCCGTGGTCCTTATAGTCTAAAGTGACCAGTGCCGTGATGAGAGAAATATGAGGGTGAGGCAGGTAACTTACACTAAGGGAATTAAGGAAAACTTTCTAGAGAAAGTGACCTCCAGGTGACTTGAAAGGCCAAAAAAAAAAAAAAAAAAAAGAAATTGAAATAAGCTACATTGAGGAAAGATTAGGGAGGTGGTGGATAGTGGAAAAGTAGAAGATGGCCATCTGAATAGAGGAAATGAAATACATCAGGTCTTTGTCAAAATAAGATCAAAGTCGGCAAACTCAAAAGCCTTCCATAGCCTTGGCAACTCATGACATGAGCCTAGGGAGATTACTGACGCCTTAAACAAGAGTGTCAATTTGTTAAGTCAACAATAGGAGTCACTGTGCACTTACTCCTCATGTAGGATCTCTGTCCTTAATGTGTTGTTCAATGTGAATTAATGCTATAACTAGTACTCAAACAGTATTTTACACTTTATGTTCTGTGTGGGTGCAAACTGTTGAAATCTTTACTTAATATATACTAAACTGATCTTCTGTATATAAAGAGAATTGAAAATGAATCTTGATGTGAATGGAATGGGAGAGGGAGTGGAGATGGGAGGGTTGTCGGTGGGAAGGAAGTTATGGGGGGGGGGAGCCATTGTAATCCATAAGCTGTACTTTGGAAATTTATATTTACTAAATAAAAGTTAAAAAAAAAGAAATACATCAGGCCTGACAGTAAGAAGGCCTAGAAAAGATATGTGTCCTGCATGCACAGTTGTAGCCAGATGAGGGACAGAGCCTGGTAATGAAGGGCTGGCCATTCATTTATTCCTCCCAAGTTTCTTGACATTAGTAAGTGCCTGTTGTAATATTAGTGCTGGATTTGTAATGGTGATCAGGAGAGAAGGGGTGTCTACTTTCGCCGAATTGATGTTCTAGCTATGAATGAATGACCACAAAAGGCCTGATAAGTAACTATAAGAGATGACATGAGAATACGTAGCAGTCATTTCCAGCCTAATTACAAAGGCTCAGGTGTAAATTTGTGGTCAGAGTGTCCAGTGGAACCCTAAAGCAGCAGTAGAACCATCACAGGGGAAGAAGAGTGTTTTGTGACGAAAGGAATGGCATGCACAAAGGCCTGAAGTTGACAGGGAGAGATTTGGTCAGTTTGAGAAGAGAGCGGTCCTCGAGACAGAAAAGATAAGTCAGGACCAACTTACAAAGACCTTGTAAATCTTGTAAATTCATTCTTCATCCTAAGGCCTGGGAAGCCATTCAAGGAATTACATTTATAGCATGCTTCTCAGCTTGAAATTTGGTTCCTGCCTCACACCATCCATAAGAATCAATTCCAGGTTTAGTGTAGGTCTAAGTATGAAAGGCAAACAATAAGGCATGGAGAAGACAACTCACCAGGAGATCTTTATGATCTGAAGATAAGCTAAATTTTTCAACAAGACTCCAAAAGCATGAACTATAAAAGAAATGATTGATAAATTTCACTGCACTAAAATGAACAGTTTACATTTTTCAAGAGGCAAAACATTGAGAAGGGCACCCAGAATAAGAATGATATCTGTCACACATATAACTGACAAAGGGTTTATATTCTGAATATATAAAGAGCAGTAAGAAATAAATCAGAAAGTATAGACAACTTAATAGAGAAGTGGGCAGGAGCTTAAATGAGGATTTTGTGAAAAAGAATATGCAAAGGCCCACAAATATATGAAAATATGTTAAAACTCCATAGTTATCACTAAAATACTGATTCTTTACAGTTCTTACCAAAGTCCAATAGTTTTTTCTAAGTAAACATCCATCTACTGCAGATCAGGACCATGAAATAACTGTTTTGACAATTTGTTTTGATTTATTTTTAGTTTCATTATTGCTTATTACTAAGAGGTTTGTCTGAGTTCCTTGCTTAACCATTCTGGAAGTCTTCATTGCCATCTTACAGATGGAAACAGTGAGGCTAGAGAGGCTGTGTGCCATCCAGGCAGGCAATGGTGCAGCCAAGATTGAGTTTGGTCAGATTTCCCTGATGGAATCTTCATATTTTCCCCCAGTACTCCAGTTGTTATTGGACAATGATAGGCATTTAGAAAGCTGATGCTGTGGCATAGTGGGTTAAGCTGCAGCCTGAAATGTCGACATCCCATATTGGAGCTCAGGTTCAAATCCCAGCTGCTCAGCTTCCAATCCAGCTCCCTGCTAATGCACCTGGGAAAGCAGCGAAAGATGTCCCAAGTGCTTGGGCCTCTGCTACCCACATGAGAGACCCAGATGGAGCTCCAGTCTGGCTTTGGCCTGGCGCAGCCTGGGATGTTGTGGCTGTTTGGGGAGTGAATCAGAAGATGGATTATCCCTTTCTCTCTCTCTGTCTTTCCCATTCTTCCTATCACTCTAACTTCCAAATAAATGAAATTAATTTTTAGAGAGTCATTTAGGAGCATGGATTCATATCATCAAATGATTTAGAAATGACTTCATCCATGTTTTCACAGATGAAAACATTCCACAGTTTTTTGCTGTTTTGTGTTTCAGTATTCCCTCAGGAACAAGAGTATCAATCAGTTTGTAACATTTTGTACCCAGTTAGATGCGAGCTATTGTAAGTGGGAAGTATTTAGTCCTACTTCCACTAGACCGGAATCCTCCAGGCCGAGAACATCTTATTTGAATGTATTTAATAAAAATCCACTGCAAGTGGGAATTTTCTCAAACAGAAAACAAAATGTCAGATAAAAATTAACGCAGTCTACATTATTTTCATGGTACAACGTCAAACACCCTTTCTATGACCGCAAGGCTCATGCAAATGTAGAAATAAGCATGTAATGAACGCTGAATTAAGTGTTGTCCTATGATTTGAAATGATGACTTCATACTCCTGTGTCTGCAGTTTCTTTTGCGCTCGGCATTTCCACCGTGGACAGAGGGAATCACAGTTACCTGAAGCAAACGCTCACCTCGGTCGTCTCCAGGATGACTCCTGCAGAGGAGAAGGACTCTGTGGTGATCGTCTCTGTCGCAGATGTACGTATGAGCAAGAGCAAGCTTCCTGCTCTCTCCTGCAGTCTCCAGGTCCCCTCCCGCGGTGGTAATCGCTGTGCCACCCTGAATTGCTTTTCTGAAAAACACAATCCTGAGATGCTTTTTTGGGATAACAGACAATATATTTAATATTGTATAACACCATTGAGAAGGAATTAAATACTTAGATCTAAAAAAGAAAACATAATGTCTTAATGTGGGAGATAATAAGTTTGCTGAATTTGACTTGCATTTAATTTAGAATCCTTGCGTAACTGTGTGGAACAGAAATCATATTTACACACAGAACATTAAAATTGATGCTATAATAATAAACCTGCCCAGCCCAATAAAATGTTGGTTATGAATCTGGGGATAGTACTTATTACTTATTAAGTAAGTAACAATAACTACCATTAATTGGGAGACTTCTTCCTATTACTAATGGACAATGGACAATTTTTCTAGACATTATTGACAACCTGCACTGCATCCCTAAAGATTGCAGATGAATAAACTGGAGCTTAAAGACAGAGGTACCTTTCCCAGGACCTAATAGAGTAGATTCAAATCTACCTCCCTCTAATGGCACCAGAGATTTTTTTAAAAGATTTATTTATTTATTTATTTATTTGAAAGTCAGAGTTATACACAGAGAGAAGGAGAGGCCGAGAGAGAGAGAGAGAGAGAGAGAGAGAGATCTTCCATCTGCTGATTCACTGCCCAAATGGCCACAACAGCCAGAGCTAAGCAATCCAAAGCCAGGAGCCAGGAGCTTCTTCCAGGTCTCCCATGTGGGTGCAGGGGCCCAAGGACTTGGGCCATCTTCTACTGCTTTCCCAGGCCATAGCAGGGAGCTGGATCAGAAGTAGAGCAGCCAGGACAGGAACCAGTGCCCATATGGGATGCCAGCACTGCAGGCGGCAGGCTTTATCCGCCATGCCACAGCACCAGCCCCAAGATTTTTATTTTGCCTATAACGCCATGTAAAACTACAAAGGACTGTGTGAATATTGATATTACAGCACCTTTTGGAAGGACATTTGGTGACGTGAGTCAAATGTAAAACATGCATATTCTTTGTCTCAGAAATCCAGATTGATTCTGGTAACCTAATCTAGCAAGAGAATCAAGCAATTGTTTAAAACATGGCGATGTAGTGTGGTAGCTGAGAACACAGACTCTGCCTCTAGATTGCCACATTCAGATGTCACCTCCTCCACTTTCTTGAATGTGAACTTGAACTATTTACTTAACCTCTCTGTGCCTCATTTTCCTCATTTCTACAACAGTATTAACAATACTACTTATAGGATCCTTGAAATTAGGTAATACATCCAAAACACTGAGAATAATGCATGACACAGAGTAAGTGCATGGTAAATAATCATTTGAAATAATTATTTCTGAGATTTCCAGTGCACTGTTATTTTATGAAAGAATGATATTGGAAACAACCAAAACATCAACAAGAGGGTGATTAAATTGTTATAAACCTACAACACAGTATTCTGTAATAATGAAAGGAGGATGAATATCTGTTCTCACTGATGCAAATGATGTCCATATCATGTTGTTGAGTGAAAAAATATCACATCATCATGTTATCCATGTAAAATTAAAGGCAAGGGAGGGATGGAGAAAATGAGGGAGGGAAGGAATAAAGTATGCTGGCAGATTAAATATATAAAGAAAAAAGAGATTGGGGCCGGTGCTGTGGCGTACTGGGTAAAGTTGCTGCCTACAGTGCCGGCATCCCATATGGGCACCGGTTCTAGTCCTGGCTGCTCTACTTCTGATCCAGCTCTCTGCTAATGTGCCCGGGAAAGCAGTGGAAGATGGCCCAAGTGCTTGGGCCCCAGCACCCACATGAGAAACCTGGAAGAAGTTCCTGGCTCCTGGCTTTGGATCAGCTCAGCCCCAGCCATTGAGACCATCTGGGGAGTGAACCAGTGGATGGAAGACCTCTCTCTCTCTCTCTCTCTCTCCCTGTCTCTCTCTCTCTCTCTCTGGCTCTGCTTCTCTAACTCTGCCTTTCAAATAAGTAAATATTTTTTTAAAAAAAGAGAAAGAGAATGAGCAAATTTTGGACTGCTAGTCTCCAAAATGAAACTGCTATTCTGAATGTGGAGTCAGGTGAATCTTCGATAAAGAGTATTCTTTTTTTTAGTGCACAAATTTTCTATAATAAAGATGTATTTGAATGCAGAAAAAAAAAAACAAAACCTCAAAGCAAGTAATGGAGGAACGTCTAGGAAACTCTAAGACTGAAGAGTCATTCCATCCCAGTTTAATTTCTTCCTACTGGAAGTATACACATAATTCCCAAAATGCTTTGTCCTATTCTCTTCTTTCACATGACTGGCGCAATGCACATTTACCTTACATGTTCAGACTAATAATAAAATATTGGGGGACAAATTTCAAAATGGAAAGTAGAATACATAATTAGTATAAATTTAGTGCCATGTTTAAAATATACTATGTGTCAGCGGGACAAAATGCTGTTGATTCAATTGATGGTCATCTTAAGAAGCTTACAAATGCATGGATAGATTTAGCCACATTTTGTCTGATATTTTATAACAAACCACCTGATGGTACACATTCAGCTAAGCCTTTCAGCATTCTCAGGTTTGACAATAGATCTGTCATTTTTCAAAATGATGGCAGAATTTTTTGTTGGAACCACTTATGGGCCTCTATATTTTTTTAAATGCTATCGTTTTTTTTTTTTTTTTACAGGCAGAGTGGACAGTGAGAGAGAGACAGAGAGAAAGGGCTTCCTTTTGCCGTTGGTTCACCCTCCAATGGCCGCTGCGGCTGGCGCGCTGCGGCCGGCACACCGCACTGAGCCGATGGCAGGAGCCAGGTACTCATCCTGGTCTCCCATGGGGTGCAGGGCCCAAGTACTCGGGCCATCCTCCACTGCACTCCCTGGCCACAGCAGAGAGCTGGCCTGGAAGAGGGGCAACCGGGACAGAATCCGGTGCCCCGACCGGGACTAGAACCCGGTGTGCTGGCGCCGCAAGGTGGAGGATTAGCCTAGTGAGCCACGGCGCCAGCCCTAAATGCTATCTTTTAAAAGATTTATTTATTTATATATTTGAAAAACAGAGTTACAGGTCGACAGCGAGAGAGAGTGAGATCTTCCGCTGGTTCACTCCCCAAATGTCTGCAAGGGCTGGGGCTGAGCCACACCAAAGCCAGGAACCAGGAGCTTCTTCTGTGTCTCCAATATGGGTGCAGGGTTCCTCTGCTTTCCCAGGCACATTAGCAGGGAGATGGATCAGAAGTGAAACAGCTGGGACTCAAACTGCCGGCCATGTGGGATGCTGGCGCTACAGGCTGCAGCTCAACTCGCTGGGCCACAGCACCAGCCCCTAAATGTCATTGAGAGAGGGTCCACATCATAAGAATTTTGTAAGCAAGTTTGTCGTGAAATGTAGCACACTGTTCAATGACAAACAAGTCCATAGAGGACACTGACGTGGAAAATTTGGGAATCAGAGGGAGCACTGCTGTCTGGAAAAACGTGGCATGATCCTGAAGTAGCTTTTTGTCATGGAACACTCACAAATGAAGACATTTCCAAAGAGCAGTGCTTCAAATCAAACCATTCCGAAATGGCTGTTTTAAGAGCAAAACATTTTCAGATGTATAGGGCTTTGTAAACCAATTTTAAAGGTTAAATAATAAATAGGAATATTCATATTGCAACAAAGGAAGAAGAATGAAATCTTTTCTAGATTCAAGTCAGATTTTTCAAATATTTTAGATCCTTTCCTAGAAAGTAAAAACACAAGACATGTTTTAGGACATAATGACTTTTCACTCTTGTATTAGATTTACCTATAGCAAAAACTCTTACCTGAAAAAAACTATAAGATGTGCTTAATTTCAGTAAATTTTTTTTCGTTTTTAGAGCCATGGAGATTATTTAAATTCTGTTGTTAACATGATTACAAAAAAGTAAGTACTGTCTGACAAACTTAAAATCTAGCCATTCTTTCCTCTTCCTATCCTGTTTTTTTTTTTTTCCTGCCCAGTTGTGTGATTATTTCATTGGAGATCGTGTTCTGTTTTCCATGAGCACAAGGGTACAAAAAGAACCTCAGATTTTTCTACATTGCAGTGATATACATAGCTTATGATTTTCCCCAACTTTGCAGGTTATTTCCCCCATTGCAGTTCCTACTTTTCATGCTATAATTGATACAGTATCTATCCTCCATAAAAATCTATTGCTTCCCAGAGAATTTTTAAATGTCCGTGTATTTCCTACTGTATGAAGTTACTCTACCACTCCTGCTTACAATTTCCTTTGGATGTAAGCAGTGGAAGCACATGCTCACGAGTCACCGTGAAGTCATTTATCAAACAAAATACTGTGGAGTGGGCCCAGCCTTCCGAGTCCTTGAGTTCAAGCAGGTGGCGGGACTTGTAACAAACAAATCACAGCAAGGTGGTGGGCGTCATCGTAGGGCACAGGTAAGGCAGTATGAGAAGACACAGTTTAACCCTGACCTGAAGGTACCAAGAAAGACTTCCTTGAAATGACAATGATCCGCCGGCGCCGTGGCTCACTGGACTAATCCTCCGCCTTGCGGCGCTGGCACACCGGGTTCTAGTCCCAGTCGGGGCGCCGGATTCTGTCCCGGTTGCCCCTCTTCCAGGCCAGCTCTCTGCTGTGGCCAGGGAGTGCAGTGGAGGATGGCCCAAGTCCCTGGGCCCTGCACTCCATGGGAGACCAGGGGAAGCACCTGGCTCCTGCCTTTGGATCAGCGTGGTGCACCGGCAGCAGCGTGCTGGCTGCGGCAGCCATTGGAGGGTGAACCAACGGCAAAAGTTAGACCTTTCTCTCTCTCTCTCTCTCTCTCTCTCTCTCTCACTGTCCACTCTGCCTGTCAAAAAATAAAAATAAATAAAATAAAAATAAAAATTAAAAAAAATCCAGACAGCCAAGGGAGAAAGGTCACGCCTGGTGAGTAGAATCGCCTGGAAGACAGAGGGGCCAGTGATTTTTGGAACCGTGAGTGCTTCCTGGAACGTGGATGTCTGGGGTTAGGAGGGAGGATTGGTGGGAGATAATGGAGGCCACAGGGAGAGCAGGTCGTCTGGTGCCATGCTAAGGAAGATACACTCTCTGCTGTAGATGAGAGTGACAGACAGGGCCTGCACGCTGCATCTGCTCAATAGACATGCCTGATCTAACCAACAGGGTATTTTTGTTGTTGTCACTTTGTTATTTTGTTTTTCCTCGACAAATAGCCCGAGTGAATGAGGCATTCTTGTTCAAAGAATTCCAGCTAATAATGGTGGGATGGATAAAATTAGAAAATCACTATTTTGAAACATAACTGATGAAGGCATGCCAGCTGCTAAAGAGGGAAACAGTTGGTAGCTCAATTAGAGGGAACGGAGGGACTTTGATATGAAGAAGTGGGGAAAAAAACAAGTTTAGAGGGCTAGGAGAACAACAGGGGGAGGAGAAAGGATGGGAGACGCATCAAGGGAGAGGAGTTATTCCTCACTCCTGGAGGGGACTATTCTAGTTACTCCTGGAGTTGTTCAGACGTTGGACTGCTGCCGCTGTACTGTGAGGAGCTGTTCCAGCAGGTTCTGTGAAAGCTGAATCCTCCACCAGTGCTCACATCACTGCTGCTGTATCCTGCTGCCTACCACTGGCGACTTCCCCAGGAACAGAAGACAGGAAGAACACCCTCCCCTTCCACGGCTCCAAGTCTCTTGTCACTTGCTGCTTTCTGTAGGCAGAGGCTAGCAGGGGAGCCCTCTAGGACCAAGGGCAGAGCACAAGTGTGAGAATGCGGGCAGAGAGAAACAGGCCATGACCTGGACTTCTGAGTCATTCCGAGTTAGACAATGAGAGCGATGCGATGATCACTGTAGTGGGGCTGGGGAGTTGTGGCGCAGCAGGTGAAGCTGCCACCTGTGATGCTGGCATCCAGTAGGAGCACTGCTTTGGGTCCTGGCTGCTCCGCTTCTGTGCAGCTCTCTGCTGGTGTACCTGGGAAAGCAGCAGACGATGGCCCAAGTGCCTGACCCCTGCCTACATAGGACACCCAGATGAGTTCTGGGCTTCTGGCTTTGGTGTGGATTAACCCCAGGCCACTGAGGCCATTTGGGGGGGTGAACCATTGGATGGGAAAATCTCTCTCTCTCTCTCTCTCTCTCTCTCTCTCTCTCTTTCTTTTTCAAAGAAAGAAAGGAAGGAAGGAAGGAAGGCAGGAAGAAAGGAAGAAATACAGAGAGACCTAGGGGGTTATCACCCTCCCTTCAGTAACCTGGAAAGTAAACAAGCCTTTAGAGGAGAATTCCCCACCTCAGAAGCCATCTGGGGGCAAAACCACCAGGGTGTGGGACATTTGACGAACAACTGATGTGTTTTCTTCAAAAACACCAGATTGAGGGGTCAGCACTGTGGCGTAGTCGGTTAAGCCTCCACTTGCAGTGTCAGCCTTCCACATAGGTGGAATACTCCTGCCTCCTGGCTTCAGATCAGCATAGCTCTGGCTGTTGTGACCATCTGGAGAGTGAACCAGCAGATAGAAGACCTCTGTGTCTTTCAAATAAATAAAATAAATCTTAAAAAAAAAAAAGAAAAAGAGAGCAAGGACAAAACAGAAGCCCTCGTTGTTTTCTTCCACATCAGTATTTTCTACCCCTTAAAGAGCAGTGACAAAAATTTGAACAGTGTTGTTGAGCGAGATTCCTGTGAACCAAACACATGGTCACTGAAATCCAAGCATTATAAATTATACAAAGTGAGGACTGCCTATTTTGCATATAACTGAGCTAATACATACGAAAATTTTTCTAAAACTTTTTGATGAAGTATAAAAACATTTCATAGATCTTCACATTTTAATTAAAAATGTAATGCCTAAATTAAAATTCCACTTAAGATTATATTCTCTTTGTCTAAAGATAGACTATTAAAAATGTTCTACCTAGGCCGGCGCCGAGGCTCATTAGGCTAATCCTCCGTCTTGCGGCGCCGGCACACTGGGTTCTAGTCCCGGTCGGGGTGCCGGATTCTGTCCCAGTTGCCCCTCTTCCGGGCCAGCTCTCTGCTGTGGCCCGGGAGTGCAGTGGAGGATGGCCCAAGTGCTTGGGCCCTGCACCCCATGGGAGACCAGGAGAAGCACCTGGCTCCTGCCATCGGATCAGTGCCGTGTGCCAGCCACAGCGCGCTGGCCGCAGCGGCCATTAGAGGGTGAACCAACGGCAAAGGAAGACCTTTCTCTCTGTCTCTCTCTCTCACTGTCCACTCTGCCTGTCAAAAAAAATAAAAAATAAATAAAAATAAAATGTTCTACCTAGACCAGGAATATAGCCTAGAGTTTAAGAAGTCTGCCTGCCACACAGGAGTGCCTGAGTTTGCTTCCTGGCTGTGGTTCCTGACTCCAGCTTCCTGCCAGTGCAGATCCTGGGAGGCAGGGGTAAGGAGTCAAGTGATTGGGCTCCTGCCTCCCACTTGGAAACCTATACTGAGTGCCTGACTCCTGGTTTGGCCCCAGCCTTGGCCCAGCCCTGGCTGTTGTAAGGCATTTGGGGAGTAAACCAGTGCATGAGAGATTTGTCTGTCTGTCTCTGCATGTCTTTGCCTTTCAAATAAATTAATGAAAATTTTTTTGAAAAACTAGAAAATAAAATATTCAAGTTGATTTTTCTATTCTTTTCCTTGATGGTACCAGATTTATAGCGCAACTTTTATAAACAGTATTTTATACATTTAAGTGATGTCCTTGTAGGTCTTTCAATATTAACTTAAAAATAAATATGTGAAGACTATTAATAATCCTCTAATGAGTTGTGAAAAGAGTCAGGTTTAATCCTTGCTATAGTTATCTAGTTTCAGGAGTCACATTGCTACTCAGTAGGTCTCTTCTTAAATTCATAATTATGCATCTAAAAAATATATTCATGTGTTTACTTTTATGAAGCTAGTATACAGTATTAAAACTCATTAGTTCTATTATGTCAAGTGTCAGCATACACATTTTATTGTAAACTTAAAGAAACAAAATATGTATAACTGTTATGCAAAAAACTTATATTGTATCTTAAAAGGTTCATGGAAAATGAAATTAGAAAGTAAGCTTATTTTGGTACAAAAAAAAGTTTGAGATCCACACAGTTTTTTCATAGTTTGCATTGTCAATGAATTTTTGAAGACCCCTCATATAGTTTACTTTGTTCATATGTCTGTCATTACTTTATAAAAGAAATACTTGGCTAAGATATTAGTTTTATTATGTTGATACCATGTATTAGCACATGAAATCATTTAAATCAAAATATGGAGACATGAATAATAAAAGTATATTTTCGTATCTGTTATGTAATTTATAGTAAATCAGATATTTAATTATAAGCCTCCTTTTCCTTCTGCTTGTAGATTCAAAAGGCAAGTGAAGTCTGGATCCTTAGAAGTCATTGCAATACCTGCGTTTTTTTATCCAGAGACATTACATGTCAATCAACTAGCTGATGACTCAGAAAAATTGGAGAGGTATGACATTTGAGAAAATAGTATGCTTAAATAACTGATTGTCTCAGATTCATTCTCTGAAGTAGCATCAGATAGATACTGTTGTAAGCAAAATGATGTGCTGAAGTCCCGCCTAAGTGCTTGCAAGAGCTGCCTAGTGCATCTTTGCCCAATGCAGTTTAGTGACATCAGATTGACGGCACAAAATCAACCACAGTGAACATGTTTACACCATGGGAATGGGCAAAAGCTACAAGTATGCTCCACTTCTCACCCCCAAGTCAGCTCTTAAACATTTGCCAACACGCCACTGATTATTTGTGCCAATATTTATAGTCAGTCATTAGCGAAGGGTTAAGAAGGGGGCAGGGAAAGCCTAGCATGGTGAGTCCTTAACCTGCATTCCAGTTGCTCTTGGTTGCTTGTCCCAGGCAGATAAACTCACCTGGTTTTCCTGAGTTTCCCCAACTTTCCAGTGTATCTGATGAAATCTGCATGATGTAGTTGGAAGAGACATTTTGAGAATGAAATTTTGACATTTATGAAAGAATATTGAAAAATTAAAGGTTCTAGACACAGACACATACAAAGCATTATACATCTTTGGTAACAAATATAGTCAGTGTTATGGAAACGTAAATATTTGGTTCCTCAAACCCAGCTTATTAAATAGAAAGTTCAGAAAGAAGAATATAAAGTTCTCATCCACGGAAGCTTTTTAGCTGTGCTTTGTTTTAAGAGTTTTACCTTGCTTTTAATTTGTGACCCATGTCATGACCAGTTTTTGGAGTCATAACGCTGGCAGTCATTCCAGATACTTGCTTTACCTTCAACCCTTCTCATACATTGCTAACTTTTCTTTTTAAAGATCTCTTTCCACGTCATCCCTCTCATCTCCATTCCACTGCGTCAGACTCGACTCAGGCCTTCACCACTCAGATCCATTTCCCCTCCCCAGTGCTAGCCCAGCCCAGCCTCTCCTCACTGCGTTCTCTGTACATAGCCAACAGAATCCCGTTCATAGGTGATAGGTCCAAAGTCTCCCACGTGTCATTAAAAAATCCTTCACAGCGTGGTCTCTGCCAGCCTGGCCATTCTCAGCTCTTTTCCATAAGCTCTCTGGGCTCTGGAACTCAGGAGGCCTGCCCTTTCCCACGCTCACACCTGCGCCACGCTGCCCATCCGCAAGGAATGCCCGTTCTTTCCTCTCCCCTTCCCATCTCATTGTAAGATTGCCACCATTGTTGATATCTTCGCAGACACTCATCTTGATGATATAACATTATGAATTGCCTGCCTTTTCATCTGGATTGTAAGACCCAGAGGGGCAAGAACTGCTTTGTGTGTTTCTCTTTGGCCTGGCCTCTAGTTTAGCATTCAGTTAGATTAAAGCTTCTTTATGCATTCATTTGAACAAGCCTTAAGGTCAGAGAGGATATTATCTTATTACCCAGATAAGAAAAGTTTCTATCTAGATAGAAATTTAACCAGAATATAAGATAAATAGATTAAGTTTATCTTCATTCAGCAGTGACAGCAGGCACTGTCTGTTGCATGGATGGGAAACTTTTTACTCAATTTTATGCTCAATTTTACTTAATGCCACTAGTACTCTAATAGTGAACAATAAAAGGCCTGTTCTTTAATTACTAAAGTGTGCTTATAAATAAAATTTGAAGAATAATGACAAGTATTAATATTATATTGCTTATCTTTAGCTGGCGAATGAAACAAGTATTGGACTTTTGTGTTTTGATGCTGTATGCCCAACCCAAGGCCATGTACTATTTACAGGTAAAAACTTGGTGTGTGTGTGTGTGTCTATACCACATATTATAAAATATTATTTTTCTCCCTCACTTCTTTAATTCCTTCCTTCCTCATTGTGTCTCTCAGACTTACTTTATACCCAGAAAACAGAAAATACTCATAGAAAATACTGTATTAAAGTGCTAAAAGGAAGCTAAAAATGCACTATCGATTTTTCTTATTGAGTTCACTGTAACAGAGTAAATTATAGTTGCCCAAAGCAAAGTGAAAAGAAAATCTCAAATTAGAAAAAAAACTAGAAATTTTTCTGCCTGTATTTCTTTGCTAACAATTTATTTGATTAAGCAAATGTATTTTGAGCACTTATTTTATGTCAGGAATTACCTTTGCTTCCCCTTGCCCTCCTGTGTTGCCTCACACTTTATGAGTAACGCAGTTCTCTAGTGCCTTACTGTATTTGTAAAAATAAAGTACTGTGTGTAGTTGGGACTCCCTAAATCCCTGCATAGTGTTAAGTAAGATTGCAGGTTTCTGAACGCATGCACAACCACACCTCACAGATGACGGCACATGTGTGAGAAGAGTGTGGGAAGATAATTGGAGAAGAGAGAGAATGAGAAGGAACAAAAGCAAGGTCTTCACTTTTACTGGAAGTAAAGATGCCTCTTAGCTCCTAGGTGGGGGTAACGTAAGGAAGCGTGAGCTCCAGCCCACGTCCTCTTTGCAATGTGAGACACCAGGATTCCACTTTGTGCCCTGGTAGTGCCCAAGGACTTCCATGCTTTTCTTTACCAGTTAGAAGGCCTAAGAAGTCTTTAAATTATGCCAGTTCCCCCTCTCTCTTACAGAGGCCCAGCTTGGGGTTTATTTGCATCATAATTCTAGCCAGGGAGCTGTGAACAAGAGTGCTCAGCTCCTCTTTGTCTTCTCTTTGCTATCTGGAGACAGAACATGGCACATCTTATCTCTCAGGCATAAAGCTGGTTGACTTTGCTAGGGTCTGTTTCTCCCCCTGCCCTCTTTAAAAACAAACAAACAAAATAGCCATGTTGGAAGTCTAAAAGCCAGAATGATGGAGTTTGAGGTGGAGGTCTTTGGGAAGTGATCAGGTATCAAGGGCAAAGTCCCCCGGCTGAGTGGTGCCCACATTCAAGCAGCCGCACAGAGCTCGTGAGCCCCACGCACTATGTGAGGACATCAAGGTCATGCGCCACCTGTGAAGAACGGCCAGCTGCAGACAGCGAATCTGCTGGCATCTTAATCTTGGACTTCCCAACCTCCAGAATTGCCAATCTGTGCCATCTTGCTGTGACAATCCAGAAACTGGAGTGTATGTGAGGATGAAAATAGATTCAGGTAAGGACTGTTTCAAAGAGGAATGTTAGAGATTAGTCATTAGGAAATAAACAGGTTAACTTCTGGTCTGGTTAATCTCAGAATCAGAAAATAAAACTGTCTAACTGTAAACACTTTCAGTGAGTTGACTAAAAATAAAACTAATACCCATAAAAATATTTTATCAGTGTATTCCATTGCATTTTCTATTTTCAAACTAATATAACTTACTCAATGGAAGCATTAAATGTACTTTTTTGGTTTTTCTTTCTCCAGCTAGAAGATGACATCATAGCTAAACAGATGTACTTTACAAAAATAGTGGATTTTGTGCGTAATATTACTTCAAATGATTGGTTTTGCATTGAGTTTTCGGTGCTTGGGTTCATAGGTAAGCAGTGGATCTGTTTTATCGTATCAAACTTTTAAACACACACATACACACACAGAATAATCCTAAAAGTTTTTAAAGATTTTATTTTATATATTTGAGAGGTAGAGTTACAGATGTACAGAGGGAGAGACAGGGTAAAAGGTTTTCCTTTTTTTTTTTTTTTCTTTGACAGGCAGAGTGGATAGTGAGAGAGAGAGACAGAGAGAAAGGTCTTCCTTTTGCCATTGGTTCACCCTCCAATGGCCGCCACGGCTCGCGTGCTGCGGCCGGCGCACCGCGCTGATCTGAAGCAGAAGCCAGGTGCTTCTCCTGGTCTCCCATGGGGTGCAGGGCCCAAGCACTTGGGCCATCCTCCACTGCACTCCCGGGCCACAGCAGAGAACTGGCCTGGAAGAGAGGCAACCGGGACAGAATCTGGCGCCCCGACCGGGACTAGAACCCAGTGTGCCGGCGCCGCTAGGTGGAAGATTAGCCTATTGAGCCGTGGCGCCGGCCTGAAAGGTTTTCCATCTGCTGGTTCATTCCCCAAATAGCCGCAACAGCCAGAGCTGCGCTGATCCGAAGCCAGCATCCAGGAGATTCTTCCAGGTCTCCCACACAGGTACAGGGGCCCAAGGAGTTGGGCCATCTTCTACTGCCTTCCCAAACCATAGCAGACAGAAGTGGAGCAGCCAGGATGTGAACTGGTGCCCATATGGGATGCCAGCACTGCAGGCAGCTTTACTCATTATGCCACAGTGCCAGACCCAGATAACATATTTTTAAACCAGACTTTTTGTCTATATAAGCAATTTAAACATCAACATAAATTTACATGTTATAAAAGAGCTACCATTTATTAAATGGTTGCTAAGAGTCTGGTGCATGTTAGCTCAGTTACTAAAATATCTCTTTTTTATGTAGAAGAATACTGAGACTCTGAGAATTAAAGTTGTAGAGAAGCTGTACGAATATTGCACTCTAAAGTCTTTGCAATTTCCAGTATGCCAAATCTGACATTTTTAAAGAATAAAAAATATGAGGTGGGTGTTTTGGTGCAGTGGGGTAAGCTTCAGCTTGGGATATGTGCATCCCGTGTCTGAGTGTCAGCTCCAGTCCCGGCTACTCAGCTTCCAACCCAGCTTCCTGATAATGCCCCTGAGAAGCAGCAGGCAATGGCTCAAGTACTTGGGCCCTGCCACCCACATGGGAGACCAGGATGGAGTTCCAGCCTCTTGGCTTCAGCCTGGCCCAGTCCTGGCTATTGTGGGTATTTGGAGAGTGAAACAGTAGATAGAAGATTCTCTCTCTTGCTCTCTCTCCCTCTCTCTCTGGCTTTCTTTCTGTGTGTGTGTGTATTTTTCTGTGCCTTTAAAGTAGATGAAAAGAAATATTTTTAAAACATGTGAATTATACCGAACACTGAAAAGTTAATGAAACTGCAGCAAACTAAAGCAGATAACATAACCTAGTAAGAGCTTAAACCTAGTTTTACAGTGATTTTTTTTGTATTTTACACTTTTTCCTTTTGCTGTTCTTTGAACCTCAAGGCAACAGGCTGAACATCATAGTTCATCACATAGTGCGTGACATCATCGATTCATGCCAGAGTTCTTATTTTATTCTTTCCGACTTTCAATCCCTACTCTTACTTTGTCCCATGCTCCATTGTTGTTTGTACGCTAATTATGTTCAGAAGAGACAGATTAAAGACAGATGTTCATGTAAAACGCTGGTGTTCCTCGTGATCGTGTCTGTTTTAAATTTACACAATTGGTATGTCAGTTAGCCTACTCTTGTCCTTTACACTTTTGTCCTCAAAACTAGGTTTAAGCTCTCAGAAGGTTATGTTACCTGCTTTAGTTTGCTGTTTCGTTGCTGTGTATGTACTGTGTAATAATCCATTTGACTTACCCACTCCTTGGGAGGTACATCTGATTGCTTCCAATTTCCTGTGACCACAGAAGAAACAAAGTGGCATACATGTGCCCTGGGGTGGGATTGCAGAGGACCGATGCAGCTGGCTCTCTAGCATTCCTGAATTGCTTTGCAAACTGGCTGTGCAGCTGATGCCCTCATAAGTAGGACATATGAATTAATGCTTCCCCATGTTGGACAACATTTGGTTTACCCATTAATTAATAACAATTCCTTTTGGCATTCAAAATAAGGTAAAACATTTCTCAGGTTGCAAGTAAGGTCTATCTGCCCTACATATATTTATTTAGTGGACCACTTTTCTTTCTCAGATTTTCTATAAAACTGTAAAGCCCCCAAAGGTTTTTGTTTTTTGTTTGTTTGTTTGTTTGTTTGTTTTGTTTTGTTTTGTTTTTGCTTAGCCTTAGTTAAATAAAGGGAAAAAATATAGGCAATAGTAATGTCTGGTGAGAGGGCTGGAAATAAAATATATTGATATATGACTCTGACAATTTAAAATTTTCAAGGAATTTATCATTCTCAGCTAAGTCAGATATGAGAAGCACAGAGAATGATTACATTCTATCTTTTTTTTTTCCTTAAAGATTTTATTTTATTTGAAAGGCAGAATGACAGAGAGAGGGAGACATGGAATGATACTGATTTTTCATCTTCTGGTTCACTCTCCAGACGGTCACAATGGCAGGGGCTGGGCCAAAGCCAGGTGTCCCGAATTCATCCAGGTCTTTCACATGAATGGCAGGGACCCAAGTGTTGGCGTCCTCTTCCGCTGCTTTCCCAGGCATATTAGCAGGGAGCTGGATTGGAAACAGAGCAGCCAAGATTCGAACCTGCACTCCAGAATGGGATACCAGTGTCCCTAGCTGTGACTTTAGCCGCTGTGCCACAACATCGACCCCAGAAAATGATTGCATTCCAATCACCACAGGAACACATTGATCAGGGAGCACTATCTATGTGACTCCAAAGTCTTCTTTAAGCTTACTTTTTAAAAATTTAAAAAGACTTCACTTTTGTTATCATATTAACAATTGTTAGTTATTGTTTACCATGAAAATGATCTTGTTACAGAGAAATTTACAGCATGCTGACACCATTTTGGTCACTGAATGACGTACTTCAGCAACTGTCAAATTTGGCTACTATATGGTATGACATCTGTTTTGTCATTGTAGGGTAACAAAAAATTTAAAAACAAGCTTACATTTGACCAAGTGACCTATACAAGACCCAGTGAAGAGTGAAGTATGCTTACATCCTACTATTGTCCTTATCAAATGTTTAGATGTATTTTACATTATTTGCTTTCAAGTGAACACTTAAGTGAATCTTATCCCTTCAACTTCATTTTAGGATTAGAGATGCAATCTATTAGGAAGAAAATTGGACTTAATGGAGCCATTTTAAAATAAAGTAAATTTTTAAGAATAATAAATACAAAAGAAAAATAGTACACAGATAAACAATGCTTAAATGGTGAGATAGCACAATGTTTTAATAAGCTTAGGTACTAAATGTGAAAATGTAATAGATGATAAAGTACTACAAGATTCAGGCCAAAAAAATGAATTTTGTGCAAAATTAAGTAATTAGAGCTGCTATAATTTCCATTTTATTTACTTACTTTCACTTGATTTAGAAAATCTACCCTCATTACTTACCACAATTGCTTTCCTGAGACTATTGGTTATTCTAAACCTGCTTACACTATTCCTCTTTGGAAGTGGTCATCTTTGATCTTTAAACCATTCTCAACTTCATTAATGCCCTAAACTTTATTTCTAAGGAATAGAATATATTTAAATCTTAACATTTTTTGCTCTTTTCCAAGTTAATAGAATGGACAAGTATATGTGTGTTACTTGCATTTGTTTACTTTTTCTCCACAGGAAAGCTGTTCAGATCAGAAGACTTAACTGACCTTGTACGTTTCTTTTTGATGTTCTACAAAGACAAACCCATAGACAGTCTCTTAAGTGAGATTTTTCATTTAAAGATGTGTGATACAAGAAAGCATCCTGTGAGTATTTTGTTACTTTATAAGTAGTAATTATTTTTGGAAAATACCATATGTCTAATGTAATTATCTAAAATTTATTTACCAAACCAAACCTGCTGAGTGCATTAAAAATTTTAACCTCCAATAGCCTAAATTTTTACTGAATTTTTAAAAATGATACAGTCCTGACATGAAAACCAAGGAGCACATATTTCTCCCATGAGTATGGATACAAAAATCTTCAACCAAAATAGAGTGAATAGTATCAAGCAATTTATGAAAAAGAATGATTTGCCATACCAATTTGTATTTTTTTTTAAGAATTCTTTTATTTATTTGAAAGAGTTGCAGAGAGAGGCAGAGCCAGAGAGGTAGAGGTAGAGGTAGAGGTAGAGGTAGAAGTAGAGGTAGAGGTAGAGAGAGAGGAAGAGAGAGAGATGTCTTCCATTCTGCCGGTTCTCTCCCCAAAACTGCAATGGCCAGAGCTGAGCTGATCCGAAGCCAGGAGCCAGGAGCTTCCTCTGGGTCTCCCACGTGGATGCAGGGACCCAAGGAGTTGGGCCATCTTCTACTGCTTTCCCAGGCCATAGCAGAAAGGTAGATCGGAGAAGGAGCAGCCGGGACCAGAACCAGAGCCCACATGGGATGCCAGCGCTGCAGGCTGGGGCTTTAACTTGCTGAGCCACAGCACCAGCCCCCAATTTGTATTATCATATGAATACAAGACTGGCTTAATATTTGAAAATCATATGGTATAATCCACCAATTTATGATTCTAAAGAAGAAAAGTCACATGATGTTATCGATTGATGGAGAAAAAATAATTTGACAGAATTCAACATCTCTTCATATAAAAACTCTCAGTCAACTAGAGATAGAAAAGAAGTTCTCATATGATAATCATCAAGAGAAATCCTACAGTTAAGGTAATTTCATGCTTAATGTGAAAGAGCAAATACTTTCTCCCTAAGACTGGGGAAAAAGGCGATGTTGTCTATCCTTACCACTCTTTTTTTTTTTTTTTTAATTTATTTATTTAGAGAAAGGTCTTCCTTTCGTTGGTTCACTCCCCAAATGGCCACTACAGCCGGCGCTGTGCCAATCAGAAGCCAGGAGCCAGGTTCTTTTTCCTGATCTCCCATGCGGGTGCAGGGGCCCAAGCACTTGGGCCATCCTCCACTGCCTTCCCAGGCCACAACAGAGAGCTGTACTGGAAGAGGAGCAACCAGGACTAGAATCCAGTGCCCATATGGGATGCCGACGCCACAGGCAGAGGATTAACCAAGTGAGCCACGGCGCCAGCCCCATATCCTTACCACTCTTATGCAACATTTTACTGGAATTCAAACCAGTGCAACTAAACTAAAAGAGAAAATATTAAGTCATACAGATTGGAAAACAGATGCCATAATTGTCCTTGGAGGAAATCTCAAGGAAGACATACACGTATATACACACATATACACACACACTCACATACATCCAGGAACTGATAAGTTGCTGAGTAAAGTTGCAAAATTATAAAATCCACAAACACAAAACACCATCATTTCTCTATGAAACAGCAATGAAAATTTGAAAACTAAAATCTAAAAAATATTTATAATTTGCATGTGGTTGTATAAAACTAACAAAATATGTATATTATCTGTATGCTGAAATCTTCAAAATTCTGGTGAAGAAATAGACATACTATGATCATGGATTGGAAAGGTTAACATAGTCAAAGTATAAATGCTTCACAAATTAATCTATAGACTTACTGCAATGCCAATTAAAATCCTAGCAGGAATGATTTTGTAAATATATACAAGCTGTTTTTTAAACTTCTAAGAAAAGAAAAAAGAACTACATTAGCTAAAATAATTTGACAATGAATAATAAAGGCAGGTATGATTTTACTTCATTCTAAAGTTTATTCAAAAGCCACAGTAATCGCAACAAGTCTTATTAAAGCAAAGGGATAAATGTGTAGACCCACAGAACAGAATGGGCCTGCAAAACATAACCAACTGATACTTGACAAAGAACAACCAACTGACACTTGACAAAGAAGCATATGCAATTGAATGAAGAAATCATAGTCTTTTCAAAAAATCTCTCTCTCTTTCTCAAATATATCTGTGAATCCAAATCTCACACCTTACTCATACATTATTTCAAAATAGATCAGCTATCTAAAAGTAACACTATACAAGCTCTTAAAAGGAAATACAAGGAAAATGTTCAGGACCTAGGGCTAACTGAAGAGTTCTTAAAATTGACAATACAAACATGATCCATTTTTAAAAATTTGATAAGTTGTAATTCATCAAAATGTAAATGCTCCAAAAGATATTGTTAAAAGTGTAATAAGACAACAGACTAGGGGAAAATATTTGAAAGCTCTAAATGCAACAGATGACTTGTACTCAGAATAAATATGAACTTTCAAAACCCAGCAAGAGGAAAACAAACAAGAGGAAACTCAATTGAAAAATAAGCAAAGGATTTGAATGGACACCATTAACTCCATGAAGCTAGTCATCCTCCCACTGCAGTACACAGTGAACTCAGCCTTGCTTTATCAACAGGTTATTTGGGGAGCACTTTTGAGGAGCCAGCATTTGATAATATATTATCTTGCTGGAGCTCTAATGAAGAGTTTAGAAAATATGACAATAACACCTCAACAAATTTTATCTGATGTTAATTTAGTCTCAAATTAACTCTAGATCATTCAATTAAAATGATTATAAAAATGATCCTTTCACATAATATTGTTTTACATGTCAGTACTGGGTAGAACTGAGTCTAAATAAGCCTGCTCTTTTAAAAAATTATTATGTATATAAATTTATTTTTCTCAAGTTTCTACATATAAAGTATGTAAAATAATTCTCAGATAGCAATCATAATAATTTCACATGTCGAGTTTTTTTTAAAGATTCATTTATGTATTTGAAAATAGAGTTACAGGGCTGGCACTGCGGCTAACTAGGCTAATCCTCCACCTGCGGCACCGGCACCCCGGGGTTCTAGTCCTGGTTGGGGCGCCAGGTTCTGTCTCGGTTGCTCCTCTTCCAGCCCAGCTCTCTGCTGTGGCCCGTGAAGGCAGTGGAGGATGGCCCAAGTACTTGGGCCCTGCACCCCATGGGAGACCAGGAGAAACACCTGGCTCTTGGCTTCAGATCAGCACAGCGCGCCAGCCGTAGTGGCCATTTGGGGAGTGAACCAACAGAAGGAAGACCTTTCTCTCTGTCTCTCTCTCTTTCTCACTGTCTAACTCTGCCTGTCAAAAAAATAAAAAATAAACAGAGTTACAGAGAAAGGAACAGACAGTGAGAGATCTTCCATCTGTTGGTTTACTCCCCACATGGCCTGCAAGGCCGAGGCTGAGCCAGACTGAAGCCAGGAGCCAGGAGCTTCATAGGGGTCTCCCACTGGGGGGGCACATGCCAAAGCACTGGGCCATTCCCCACTGCTTTCGCAGGCACTGGAACAGAAGTGGAACAGCTAGGACTCCAACTATACTCATATGGGATGCCAGCATCACAGCCCCACCACAACACAAGCCCCCAAATGTCTGTTTTTATTAAGTGTGATGCCAGAAGTCATCTTTCTTGTTTTTATTTTTTAAGGAGATTATGCAAATTCTTTTCCATTATATATAATGTTGATTCCTTTTTTAAATCATATACTTTTTACTTACTGAAGGAGAATTTGAGGAGGCTGTAATTCAACACAGGAATTCATCAGTACATTTGGGAACAGGAGGAGAATAGTGTAGTCTGACAGACATGAATAGACAAGAAAATACTAAAACTTTTATTTAAGTTATTGGAATAAAAAGCAGGAGAGGAAAATTATAGTTGGCACAATAGCTGCCTGATTTTCTCAGACACAGTTCACCAAAGCACATGCTTCAACTAAAACCCTTTTTAAAAAAGATTTATCTATTTATTTGAAAGTCAGAGTTACACAGAGAGAGAAGGAGAGGCAGAGAAAGAGGTCTTCCACCCACTGGTTCACTCCCCAACTGGCCGCAGCAACCGGAGTTGTGCCGATCTGAAACCAGGAGCCAGGAGCTTCTTCCAGGTCTCCCACGTGGGTGCAGAGGCCCTAACACTTGGGCCATCTTCTTCCTACTACTTTCCCAGGCTATAGCAGAGAGCTGGATTGTAAGTGGAGCAGCCGGGTCTCGAACTGGCGCCCGTATGGGATGCTGGTACTGCAGGAGGCGGCTTAACCCGCTACGCCACAGCACCGGCTCCAACTAAAACCCTTTTTAAACCTCCGTCGTTCAGGGACTGTACAACTCTTTCCATTTCTGGAGGACTCCTCTTCCTGAGATAGATCTAGATGTGGAGCTTGAACAGGACATTGGGAAAAACCTCAGCCCAGAGAGACCAGAAGCAGCATCTGAAATCCCCAGGCCAGGTTCTCCAAACATTACCATGGCCACCAGAAAGGAACTTGAAGAAATGATAGAAAATCTCGAGCCCCATATTGATGACCCCAGTGTTAAAACCTGGTGGAGGTGCTGCCCACTGCACTGCGTGCATCTAGTCTGGATGCCCACAAGGAGGCCATCAGCATAGAGAAGTGATCTGGAAGATGATCTGGGTGTAAATGAGCTACCAAAGTGTAAAATAAGCCAGGATGATTCTGTGCCTTTAATCGGCGATGCTGTTGAGAATATGGACTCATCCCTTCACTATATCCATAACTATTCAGACTTGAGCACCAACAGTAGCTTCAGCCCTGAAGAGGAAAGGAAATCCAAAATCCAGGATGTTGTACCCCAGGCTTTGTTAGATCAGTATTTGTCCATGACTGATCCCTCTCGTGCACAGACGGTTGACACTGAAATCGCAAAGCACTGTGCTTAACAGCCTGCCAGGTGTGGCCCTGACGTTGGGCAGGCAGAATTGGCACTGCCTGAGAGAGAACTATGAGACCCTGGCGTCGGACATGCAGTGGAAAGTTCGAAAAACATTAGCATTCTCCATCCACGAGCTTGCTGTTATTCTTGGAGATCAGTTGACAGCTGCAGATCTGGTTCCAATTTTTAATGGATTTTTAAAAGACCTTGATGAAGTCAGGATAGGTGTCCTTAAACATTTACATGATTTGCTAAAGCTTCTTCATATTGACAAGAGAAGAGAATATCTTTATCAACTTCAGGAGTTTTTGGTGATGGATAATAGCAGAAATTGACGCTTTTGAGCAGAATTGGATGAACAGCTGATCTTGCTTCTAGAATTATACAGCCCCCAGGACGTTTATGACTATTTGCGCCCCATTGCTCTCAATCTGTGTGCAAAGTGTCTTCTGTTCGCTGGATTTCCTACAAGTTGGTCGCGAGATGGTGAAGAAGCTGCACATGGCCACGCCCCTGATGCTCAGGGTGGACCTCATCAATGAGCTGGTAGAAAACTCTGGCAGGTACCACATGTGGTCTGGTCAGCAGGCCTTCATCTTTGTCTGCCAGACGGTCATTGAAGACGACTGCCTCCCCAGGGACCAGTTTGCTCTGCATCTGATGCCCCACTTGCTGACCTTGGCCAATGACAGGGTTCCCAATGTCAGAGTGCTGCTCGCAAAGACATTAAGACAGACTCTGCCAGATAAAGACTACTTCCTGGCCTTGGCCGGCTGCCACCAGGAGGCCGTGGAGCAGTCATGGCTCTGCAGATGGATCGCGACAGCGACGTCAAGTATTTTGCTAGCGTCCTCCCAGCCAGTACCAAAATCTCCAAAGATGTCCTGAGCATAGCCTCCTCGACCTACTAGAAAATCTGGGCCTGTGGTGTCTCTCCTGCCTCCGTGGGTGCTCCCGCACGCGCGACCCAGGCCGGCCTTGGGAAGAAGGCCCCTTCCTCTCTTGCAGACTCAATCACAGGTACAAGTTGCCTACACCTGATGCCAGGGATTCCAACAGTCAAGAGCAAGTACAGTAAACACTATTATCTTATCTTGACTTTAAGGGAAAATAATTTCTCAGAGGATTATAATTGTCACCGAAGCCTTAAATTCTTCTGTCTTCCTGACTGAATGAAACTTGAATTAGCTGAGCATTTTCTTTGTGGAAGAGATGAGATTCCCAGAGACCTACACTGCTTTCTCCTGGTTTTCTTTAACCACCGATACATGAAATTCTTACAGCCAGCAGGCGGATGCGAAAGAGACCTTCAGTATTAGCCCTGACTGTCTCCACCAAGGCAAGGACCTGCCGGGGCGCAGGGCCAGCCGCCCAGCCCTGCCCCACCCCACGTGTGAATAGTTTTTGACGTGTATAAATGGGAAAGGAGATTTTTGGATTTCTCCCAAGGGCTTGATGCTAACACTAAAGTAGAATCTGATTTTAACTCTTCAGTGCAGCACATTGTTGCATGCGTTTACAGAACCTTTGCTGAGTATCTATGTCCTGATGTCTTTCATGCTGGTCATGACCTGAAGGAAATTTATTAGCACACGTATTGTATGTCAGGTGTTTTTAACTTGATCGTGATCAGCTCTGAGGTGCAGCTTTCTTCACACACTGTACATACCTGTGACCACTCTTAGGAGTATTGCAGTCCCTAGTCATGCTCTTTAAAACCATTGGGGCACAAGTTCTCTTGTCCAAATAAAATTTATTAATAAGATCTATAGAGAGAGATATATACACTTTTGTTTTCTAGATGACTGAAAGTAAATGCAATTTGTGATCGGTTTAAAGAAAAAAACCTCAATCATTTTTGCTTTATTATTCTTGAGAAAAAGCTAAGAACCAAATGTTTCATTTACATTTTGTACATGAACATAGGGCTCTAGCAAAGACTAATATAATACTTCCACCATCAGATAAGAAGGAAGAAGACTGTTGTTTCTGTTTGTCCCTAGGTAACATGCAAACAACGGAAGAAGCAAATCTGTGTCCGGCATAATCCGTCTCTGTTCCAGCACGTGGGCATACACTCGTCACTCCTTGGGAAAGAACAATATTTCAAAGTAAGATTTTGAAAAGTAACTTCAGCCACGCATAAAGTTTCATAAGCTTACAAAATATTTAGAAAAATGTGCTGATATGAATGAGACTGTAAGATGTGGTTGTTTTTATGCACAATTCATCTTATGACAAAAGTGTGTAGTGTGAAGACTGTTTATATAAACTGAGCAAATGCTTTTTAAAGACTCAGGTCATCTATCCTCATAAGAAAAGTGCAGCCTACATAAACTCCTGCCTTACTGTTCCCAGCTGTGTGATTCAAATAATAAGACTAAAAGTAAGTTTTGAAACTTATAATAAGATTCAATATGTTAGCTTAGAATTCAAAATTATGCAGGAATATCCTAATAATTTAACTTAGATCTGTCAACATTTCTATTTCAGACAACAATTTACCAGATGAGGAAAAACTCGGCATTTTCGGGTTTTAGTCATTCCCCAATTTTGCATCATTTTTGGAAAGATATTTATTTATTTGTGAGACAGAGGGACAGGGAGAGACAGATACACAGAAAACACACCCATCTGCTGGTTCATTCCCCAAATGCCTGCAAGGGCTAGGGCTGGGCCAGGGTTGAAGCCAGCAGCCTGCAGCCAGGAATTCAAACCATATCTCCCACATGGGTAGCAGGACCTAATCACATGAGCCATTACTGTCGCTTTTCAGGGTCTGATTTGCTGGGAGCTGTAGTCAGGAACCAGAGCCAAGCACTGAACCTAGATGCTCTGTTCTGGGCCAAGGTACCTCAATCATTAAGCTAAATGCCCAATTCTGCAAATATTGGTAATTGATTCATCATCTAGATAGAGTAGAAGCAACAAAGAAATCAAACCTAGGGAGTATACATATACACATATACATACATATGTGTGTATGTATATATATACATATATGTGATATATATCATATCCAATATCATATATTGGATATATCCCAGGAGAAGCCTTTACACTCCTGTGAGCTTTCTTCATCTATAAGATGAAGAGTTGAATGAAATATCCTTAAGGTTTATTTTTACCTTTCAAACACTGTTGGCATCTCTACCGTTAGTATCATCACACACAGCAAAGGACATGTTTTATTACATTATTACATTGTCAATTAAAATGGGCAATGTATATCGGGGTATTCATCCTCCCATCAGTCATGACCTGCCCTCTGCCTCTCTCCCTCCCTTTCCTGCTCTGTCTGTATGTATAATATGGTCCTCTTTGGAAAAGGGTCAGGAAACAGTGTGAATTCAGTGAATATTGGCTGCTATCTGTCAAGCAAGGTGGAATCCAAGAATGAGCATGTGTGTCAGACAAATTAAATGCCTGAAATAATGAAAATTTAACTGTTGTGGATTTTTATGCAATAAGTATAACATCATCAAAATGCATAAAACAGCTCAGATGATGCAGAAAGAAACTGGCCTGTAACATTCTATGTCTTGGTACTACTGTTAAAGGATACTTGTCTTCCATTATCCATTTTGCCATATAAGATACTTAATTCACTTTAATAACCTCCTGACATTGAAGTAGAGTATCTGTGTATTTCTATTTGGGGTTTAATCCTGGTTTATTTCCTTCTTAACACATAGAATATAAATCAATAGCAATTTAATAATATGTCATATGATTATGTTTATTTTTAAATCCAACAGGATATCTATTATTAGGAATTTCATAATTCCAACAGCTTCTTTAAAAATTATCACCATCATTCTTTGGAAAAAAAGTAGCATAACAAGGATTATATTATTTCTCAACTTTCTTAAGAGTGTATAAGAGATCACATTACTTTTTAAAATTAAGTCTTCAGTAATAAAATGGTGAGTATCTTTTTGATATGTTTTTCTTAATGTTCATTTTTAAGTCTTTCATAAAAACTTTTACATAAGATTTTTACCAGCTAAATTCTTACAACTGTCATAAAAGTTTCTTAATGTAAATTTCTCCCTATTCATCTAGCTTATGTTTCAGAAATAATAATTTAATAAAATGAAACATTTAATGTCTTCTTAGTGATAAACTTTTAAAAATAATTTAATTTTTTTAATTTGCCTAAATCTTCAATTTATTATTTTTTAATTTTTAAATTTTTTTTTTATTTTTTGACAGGCAGAGTGGACAGTGAGAGAGAGACAGAGAGAAAGGTCTTCCTTTGCCATTGGTTCATCCTCCAATGGCCACTGCGGCCGGCGCGCCGCAGCCTGCGCACCACGCTGATCCGATGGCAGGAGCCAGGTACTTATCCTGGTCTCCCATGGGGTGCAGGGCCCAAGCACTTGGGCCATCCTCCACTGCACTCCCTGGCCACAGCAGAGAGCTGGCCTGGAAGAGGGGCAACCGGGACAGAATCCGGCGCCCCGACCGGGACTAGAACCCGGTGTGCCGGCGCTGCAAGGCAGAGGATTAGCCTAGTGAGCTGTAGTGCCGGCCTAAATTTTCAATTTAAATATTCTTGGCCATTTCTTGTTCTAAATCTATAATAAACATAGGAAGTTCTTTTAGAATAGCTAAAATATTTCAACATTAATAAAGTGATAATTCTGAACTCCTGGATGAAATGATGAAAGCTTTTCTCTTGGCTTTGCGTTTTCTGTAATTTGCTGATGCTCCATCCATATTCAAGGTCATTTTCCTTTTACCACGGTGCACTAGGTTTCAATGTTTTGGAAGCAGGGCTGCCAGATGAAGTACAGGCATCCAATTCCCTGAGTTTCAGTGAAATGATGACTTTGCCTGTGTGCGTCCCATTTGTTGTTGATGTTGCTGAATTTGCCAGGCCTTGCTGGAGGTGACAGAGAGGAGAGGGCAGAAGGATACTTCTCATTAAAAGGCTTTAACTGAATTCTTATGTAGGGTTATTCCCTAGTTTTTTATTAAATAATAACATTCTTCCTTTTTATTTAAAACCATTATTTTAAGTCCTATGTTTCTGTTTTATGTAATGATAAAACTGGCAATTTCTTTAAGAATTTGAGGCTAAGATATTCTTCCTCAAAGAACTGTCATGATTCCTTTGGCCCATTGTGAGATTTTTCCCTCTTTAATAAGAAATTCACTTACTTCACACGAAATGTAGTACCTATAATATCTTATATTCTCAGCAAAATTTCTTCATCCTCATTTTATATCTATTCTCTGAATTTATTTCACATTTAAAAAATTTTTTCATATTATTTATTTGAGAGGCAGAGAGACAGAAATACAGAGCTCCTATTTGCTGTCTACTCCTCAAATGCCTGCAAAAGTCAGGGCTGGCCCAGACCGAAAGGCAGGAGCCAGTCCTGGTCTCACCTGTGGGAGGCAGAAACTCAGTCATTTGAGCCATCACCACTGCCACTAGCAGGACGCTGGAACTGGGAGCAGAGGCAGACTGGGCCCAAGCAGTACCTCAACTGCTAGAAAGTCCACTTGTCTCTCACATATTATTATTAAATGATTGTTCCATATGCTTTCACTTAAAATTATCCTAAATTGTTTCTATATTATGAAAATAATATGTAAAGAGTGTCATAACATATTTGTACATTATCTGCAGCTGTTCACTGGCTATAATTACAATGTGATTATACAGACTGCCCAGGAAACCTACAGTTGTAAATCTACCTTCAATATTCTGACATCATGATAGTACTAAAACTGGCATTGTCTAATATGTCTTAAGAAGTATATTTTGGGGCCAATGTTGTGGTATAGTAGGTTAAGCCCCTGCCTGCAGCATTGGCATCCCATCTGGGCTCTAGTTCAAGTCCCGGCTGCTCCACTTCTGATCCAGCTCCCTGCTAATGGGAAAGCAGCAGTAAATGGCTTAAGTCCTTGGGTCCCTGCTCCCACATGGGTGACCTGGAAGAAGCTCCCAGCTCCTGGCTTGGCCCAGCCATGGCCATTGCAACCATCTGGGGAGTGAACCAGCTGATGGAAGATCTCTCTCTATGCCTCCCTCTCTCCCTGTAACTCTATCAAATAAATAATATTTAAATATCTATATATACATTTATATATTTTAAAAGAAGTATATCTTTTGTCAGTGTAAAGTTGTCTGCTCTATTTAAATAAGGGATTGTGGTGTCAAAGAGGACACAGTAAGGAAGTAATTTTATCTATCAATAAAATGTCATGGTAATAACTACTAATAAATAATTTGTTATTTCCTGATGTTACAGGATTCTTAATTTTATTTCAGAAAATATGAAGAGAAGCATAACAAGAAGAAACTCTACATTCCTTAGAATCTCACTTGGATAACCTTGATTTCTAATGACACCATATTTGAGAAGTTGTAATAATGAAAAAACATAATTACCTAGAAGAGGAAAAAGCAACGAACAAACTAGTAGATTTGAAAGTACTAAACAACCTCCCTGACAAGAAAAAAATAGAATGTTTATTTATAATATTTGTGCCCTGACAAATACAATTTAATTTTAAAATAGTTAAAGAAAAGATATTTTTAAAAATTAAGAGTTATATATTATTGACTAGATAGTGAGTGTACAGCATAATCGCAATATGTAGACAAAAATTCAAAGATGTGCTCGTCACAGGCAAATTCTGTGTGAAATGGTATATGCTCTTATCCATGTCAACACACCTAAAGAAACAGTAAAAATTTAGGAAGCCTGGATCTGGTAGTGCACAATATTTTCTTGTATTTTAATAAATGCACTTAAAAGTATATACTTGTGCTAAGTGCCATTTGAGTGGGTTATGGAAAATCTTGATATGTATGTATTCTGACAACCATTCAGCTCCAAGGATTTTATACTTAACGTTGCCTTTGTAACCCATAAAATTTTTTGGGATTGTGCATATCTTTTCAAATATATTTTTTTTCATCTTTTAATTGCTGATTTCCAATGTAATCACATTGTTCTTCAAGAACTGTATCTGTGTGATGGAAGTTGGGAACTCTTTTGAATCCTCCTGTTCCATAGAGTTTTGTAAAGAATTACATAGTAGCTGTATGCTCCTTTCCAAATATGTTACAGTCATTTGTTTTTGTAAACGCTGGTTATGCATTTAAAAAATTACTTTTAAAATATTCTTATTTATTGGGTGCAGGATTGTCTCACATCAAGCTTTTTAATATGGTTACTCAATTTTTTTTTAATCCTTACCAATTTTTGTCTACTCAATAAATGTTTCTTACAGGAGACTATTAAAATATCCTACTATTTTTCTTTCTGTTATTGTAATAGCTTAACTGTATTCTGATTAATAAGAAGTATGTCTTATCTTTGACCCCTGCATCACATATTATGATAGTCTTGATCGCATCCTGCAGTGCCAAAACTGCACAGTCAGTGCAGTGTGAGCTGTGTAAGGCGCCAGTTTATAAAGAGCCTATGAAAAACAAACTGTTTATGTGTGTCCACTTCTTTCTCTATTTCCAGAACACTTTGTATATGCCAAGGATTTTAAATTTAACTTAAATCTTTGATTTTTTTTTTTCAGGCAGAGTGAACAGTGAGAGAGAGAGACAGGGAGAAAGGTCTTCCTTTACCATTGATTCACTCTCCAATGGCCACTGCAGCTGTCGAGCTGCGGCTGGCTTACCACGCTGATCAGAAGCCAGGAACCAGGTGCTTCTCCTGGTCTCCCATGCAGGTGCAGGGCCCAAACACCTGGGCCATCCTCCACTGCACTCCCAGGTCACAGCAGAGAGCTGGACTGGAAGAGGGGCAACTGGGACAGAATCTGGCGCCCTGACTGGGACTAGAACCTGGTGTGTGGGAGCCACAGAGGATTAGCCTAGTGAGCTGCGGCACCGGCCAAAATCTTTGATTTTTAAAATTTAATCTGCCAGAGCATATTCCAAGTAATGCTAACTCCAAATACAGTATTTCTCAAAAAGATAGCAACATTCCTTGAGTAGGTGCTTATTCAGTTTCTTAGTCCGCTGAGACTAGAACAAAAAAACTTAAAGGTTGGGGTCATGAAATAGCATCAAAAGAGGCTGTCCAACAAACAGCTGAATGTTACTGAACTGAGATAATTACAGAAGAATGCTGCTTGAAACCATGACTAATGTATTTTCAGATTGGCAGGTGCAAGGTGGAAAAATAAAGAAGGACATTGATAGACATGCTTAAAAACCCACCTGATTACCACTGCCTTTAAAGAAATGACTCATGGGGCCAGCACTGGGGCATAGTGGGTCAAGCCACCACCTGCAACACCAATATCCCATATTGGAACCCTGGTTAAGTCCCAGCTGCTCTACTTCCCTTCCAGTTCCCTACTAATGTGCCTGGGAAAGCAGAGGAATTGTTTCATGTGCTTTCACTTAAAATTACCCTAAATTATTTCTATATTTGTTTATATTTCAAATTATGAAAATAATATGTAAAGAATGTTATATTTGTATATTATCTGCAACTGTTCATTGGCTATAATGACAACGTGATTATACAGATTGCCCAGGGAACCTACAGTTGTAGATCTACCTTCAGTATTTCGACATCATGATAGTACTAAAACTGGCATTGTCTAATACATCTTAAGAAGTATATCTTGGAGCCAGTGCCCAGGCGTAGTAGGTTAAGCCTCCACCTGTGGCTCCAGCATCCTATCTGGGCACTGGTTCATGTCCTGGCTGCTGCTCTTCTGATCCAGCTCTCTGCTTATGGCTTGGGAAAGCAGTGGAGAATGGCCCAAGTGCTTGGGCCCCTGTACCGGTATGGGAGATCTGGAAGATGCTCCTTGCTCCTGGCTCCTGGCTTCGGATCTGCCCAGCTCCAGCCATTATGGTCATTTGAGGAGTGAACCAATGGCTGGAAGACATTTCTGCCTCTCCCTCTCTCTGTAACTGTAGATCTCAATTAAATAAATATTTTTTTAAAAAAAAAGCCACTCTTAGGTAACAAATTATGAGGAACCTTATATAAACTGATAGATTCTTGTTTTGCTGTTATTCTCTTCCTATAAGCCCAGATAAAATAGATAGTTTCATAAGAAACATTTAACCAAAATTTATACCAGTAGAGAAAGAACACAAACCAACCAGTTTCATGGAAGAAACAGAGAAAGTTATTAAGAAATAATAATAAAAGTACAAAGGAGAATAAACCTGGGAGGACTATACAGGGAAATTGAACTAAACTTTTAAAATTCATGTTATTTCAACATTTTCAGATTGTTTCAGAGTATAACAAGTAAAGAAAATTTCAAAATTCTTTTAATGATATAAAGATAGTAGCTAATTCTACTAACAATAATAACACAGAAAAGGAAAACTACATGGGACGAGCTTTTGGCACAGTGGCTTTAGTTGCTGTTTAGGATGCCTGCATCCTCTATGGGAGTGCCTGGGGCCAGTCCTGAGTACACCATGCTTCTGATCCAGATCCCTGTCATCCTCCTGGGAGAACTGGATGGACCTGGCTCAGCTGGCTGCTGCAGGCATTTGGAGAATGAATTAGTAGTAAAGATTGATCTCTCTCTCCCACCCTCCTCTCTTCGAGTAAGATGAAAGTACATTTTAAAAACACACCCATCTGGCTTTAAAAAAAAACTACAGAGCAATATCATTTATGATAACTGATACAAAAATCTTAAAAGCAGTATTACAAATAGATTCTTAAGTCACATTAAGAAAACATCATATTGTAACTTAGTATTTGTGCCAGGAGTATAAGAACCTGTGAAGATTGTGTTAGGAAACCCATTACTATAGTGTACAATACCAGTAAGTCCAAGGAGAACAATCCTATGCTTACCTCTACAGATGCTGAAAGCCTCTGAAAAACAATCTGGCACCAATTTCCCAAAAAACATTTAAGAAAATTGCAATGAATGGAAACTTACTTTTCATGCTCACACACTGTGTGTGGGAATACAAAATGATACAGCTCCTATGGAGTGAGTTTTATAATATGGAACAAAAGATAGCATTTAAAACCACAGAGGGGTATCACTGATTGACCACTAGAAAGACCAAAAGACTGGCCATACCAAGCAATGGTGAAGATGTGGAGCAACTGGAATTCCATACGTTGCCGGTGGGAATATAAAATAGCGCAGTTACTTTGCAAAACAGCTAAGTGTATTTATTTATTTATTATTTGAAAGGCAGAGTCACAGAGAGGCAGAGGCAGAGAGAAGTCCTCCATCCACTGGTTCACCTCTCAAATGGCCACAACAGCAGAGCTGCACCAATCCAAAGCCAGGATCCAGGAACTTCAGGTCTCCCATGTGGGTGCAGGGGCCCCAGGACTTGTGCCATCCTCCACTGCTTTCCCAGACCAAAGAGCTGGATCAGAAGTGGAACAACCGGAAATTGAACTGGCGCCCACATGGGATGCCAGCACTGCAGGTAGCGACCCCATCCGCTATACCACAGCACTGGCCCCAAGAACTCAGTATTTTTTTAACAGTCGAAAGGATGCTTAACTATATACACCCCAGCCATTCCACTTTTAGTTATTCAAGAGAAGTGAAAACATCTGTCCACCCAAAGACTTGCACATGAATGTCTAGAGGGTCTTGATTTGTAATAGTGAAAAACTGGAAGCAACGCAAATTTCATTTAGAGCTGGGTGTGTGAACCATTTTGTATTTGTACAGTGGAGAACTGCTCAGCAACCAAAGGCATAAAATTACCAGTCCACACAAATTCATGGACAGAACTAAAAATATTCATGCTGATTGAAAGAAGACAGCATGAAAAAAAGAGGGAAGGGGACAGAAGGAGAGGAGAGGATAGAGAGGGAGAGCAGAGGAGGGGAGAAAAGACCAATCTGGCAAATACTTTCAGTAAAGATAAACAGCCAAGTCTTTGTACTATCCTTCCAATTCTTCCAAATCAAAAATCTAACTTCAGGATGCAATCAATGAATCCTTTCCCCGACTCAACTTTCATAAAGGCCTCAGTCTAAGTCATTTTACTTTCACTCCTTCAACTCACTTGGTCAAAATGGACCCAACGGTTAAGAAGTCAGAATAGGCTAGTTCATGATGCAACAGCATGCAGTGGTTTAGAACTTCAAGTCCATATTTTTCATTCACATTACCAAGTTAACAAGTGGGCTCCACTCACTGAGTCACCCTGATTGACAGGGGCTCCTATCTTGCCATGTGTTTCCACAGTCACTGGCAGGAGAAAGGTTTGAGGATCACCAAGCCCTTCCACCTGGAACTGGCATGCTTCACATTATCCCACTGTCCTAGTCTAAGTTCCTGTGAAAATAGACAAATAACATCTACTTATGAAATAACATTTCCAATAGAATACAATTTAGCCCTGACTGTTAATGAACAACTTAATACATTATCCCTCTTAGTAGTTTTTTTGTCTGTTCTACTTAATATGACTGGTCTAATTCTGTAATTAATACACAGTTATTCTTAAGTGTTGAAATTTAACTGAAATGTGATCCCTGTTAAACATAAGAGTAGGGAAGAGATATGTAATTTGGGACATGCTCAAGCTGACTTGCCCCAAATGGTAGAGTTAGAAACATACCAGGGGACTCCAATTCAATCCCATCAAGGTGGCATGTACCAATGCCATCTCACTAGTCCAAGTGATCAATTTCAGTTCACAATTGATCATAATGAAAGGACTAAGAGTCAAAGGGAGCACATAAGCAAGTCTAGTACCTGCTAACACTAACCGATAGAATAAATAAAGGGGAGAGTGATCCAACATGGGAAGTGAGATACTCAGCAGACTCCTAGAATGGCAGATGTCCTAAATAGCACTCTGGCCTCAGAATCAGCCCTAAAGGCATTCGGATCTGGCTGAAAAGCCCATGAGAGTATTTCAGGCATGGAAAGCCAAGACACTCTGGCAAAAGATCTCTGTGAGTGAGATCCCAGTGGAAAGAACAGGTCTTCAAAGAAGGAGGTACCTTTCTCTGAAGGGAGGAGAGAACCTCCACTTTGACTATGACCTTGTCTAAACAAGATAAGAGTCGGAGAACTCAAGGGGCTTCCATAGCCTTGGAAACTCATGACTGGAGCATAGTGGGATTGCTGATGCCATAGACAGGAGTGTCAATTGGTAAAGTCAACAACAGGAGTCACTGTGCACTTACTCCTCATGTAGGATCTCTGTCCTTAATGTGCTGTGCATTGAGATTTAATGCTATAACGAGTACTCAAACATTATATTTCACTTTGTGTTTCTATGGGTGTGCAAACTGTTGAAATCTTTACTTAATGCATACTAAACTGATCCTCTGGAAAAAAAAAAAGAAAAGAAAAGAAACTATCAACTCCCAACTTGACTCTCACTGGGATTAAACATGACAATAGGTCTGATCTGATTTCATCATCATTAAAAAAAAATCATCCATTATTTTTCACTTTATGTTTCTGTGTGGGAGCAAACTGTTGAAATCTTTAC